TTACGTCAATCTATTGACGAGATATACCATTTTTAATTTTGGGTCGGGAAGAGTAGTGGTACATTTTTAAAACGCCGCGCGCTGTGCAGCCACATAAATGATGCTCTACTACTCTCCCCCGACTCAAATTTAAAAGTGGAATATCTGGTCAACGGATTGATGGAAATTACAAATTTAAAAATCAACATTTATTTTAACTACTATTTCATCTATTTATGGAATTTTTAATATAGGTTGTCATTTGAAAATCAAAAGTAGGTAGTCGTTTCACTCCCAAAAATTAGTGTGGCAAACAAATAATGTAAATGTTAAATTTTAGTACAGTTTGTTTCTTAAATTTTCTTTAAACAAATTTCGAAAAAAGTTAACACTTTTCCGAGATATTGGGTGCCTTACGATAGATTAATCACTCCGTATATAGTATTACTAATTACTACGTCCAAAGGGAGGAAATACCCGAGAACGCCACTGAGATAATACTATTACAGAATGTTCAGCGTTATACGAGTATTTGAATATAAAATAATATTAATTTATAATAGTAATAATTGTAATAGTGATATTATTTATACTATACCCACAGTGTTATCGTACACCGTGTCGACCTTCTGTACTCGATCTCATATTCATACATCGTGTACCACACACTTTGTTCGTTATTCAAGGTAACCGCGTCATTCTACTTTTCTATTAGGTACCTATATGTACCTAGCGAATTGGCAATCCGTGAAATTCACTCATATAAACATTGATAGGTGGATAAGTACTGCAGTGGCATGCGGTAGTATTTGAAGCTTGGTAGTTTAGATGCCAAATAAAAAAAATTCGTTAATACTCGTTTAAAAAAAAATAGATATTTTAAATCATTAAATCATATTTTTGAAATTGTAATACATTTTTTTCACGTTGAAGTAAAAAATAAAATATGGTAATTCTCAATAATGAACAAATATCTGTTATAAGTACCTACCTAATTAATAACCGATAATTAGAGTTTTAAATTAACAAAAATACATCAAAAAATATTTGTTACAAAATGTTGAGCTCAAAAAAAATATTTTAGAACTTGCTCGTTGCATATTTAGTTTTTCCATTTAAATAACATAGGGAAGTAACGATAATTTTAATTAAATCACATTTACTCATTTAATTCGAAAGTTACGAGGTTGTACAAAGTTTTTCCTTTAGGATCACATAATATACATCCGATTTACTTGGAAGCACGTGAAATTTTACTGTTTTACGAATAGCTCATTAGCAGAAATTTGTACAAATTCTCAGATTTTTTTTTAATTTCCAACTCATTATATGAAGTTAATTTATAACCAATGACCAATAGCAAAGTCTTTTTATAACTTACAAAATAAACATTATTTGAAGATTTTTGATGAAAAGTGGCAAATTTATATAACTTTATAATATTAATAAAAAAGTTAAAAAAAACTCAATTTTTATAGATTTCTACAAATGAGCTATTCTTATAACAGTAAAATTTCACTTGATTCCAAGGAATCGTATGTATATTATGCGACCCTTAAGAAAAAACTATGTACAACCTCGTAACTTTCGAACTTAATGAGTAAATGTGATTTAATTTAAAGTATTGTTATATTCTATATTATTAAAATGGAAAAACTATGTATGCAATGAGCAAGTTCTAAACATATTTTTTTGAGTTCAACATATTTTAGGCTAAGTTTGAGACCACGAGGAAGTAATTTTTAGTCTTAATTTGAAATAATAAAAAAAGAGTTAAAAATCAAAACAGTGTAAAGGAGCCCACACACTGTAGCGGTAAAACGGCCGCGGTAAAATATCGTGTCGCGATTTTTATAAGAGTCGCTGCATGAACGAATTTCACCACTACAGCCGGCGTTTTTTTTTTCATCATTTTATGGGTACAAATAAGAAATAAGTATACCAGTGGATGCAAATTATTTGAACGATTTTCTCGTAAATAAAACCGGAGATTAGACTTTGTGTTAAAATACAGTTTATTATGAAATTATTTTATAACATGCATTATATTATATTATATTAAACAGCAATTTCTGTTTTATGTACTTACTAAAATGTTCTATTTTATATTTTACAAATATAAAATTCCCGTTAGGTAAGGTTAGGTTAGTTGTCAGTGGTGTACGCAAGAGTAGGGTTCTATGGTTTTAACCCCCACCCCCCCCGAAATTTTTTCCTCCCAAAATTTTTTTTATTGGTAATTTGTACAGATAATTTTAGTACATATAAAAAAAACGTCTGTGATTGTCGTGTACTAAGATATAGACATAATAAAAAGTTACATTTGTTAAAAATTATGTCTATGGCATTTTGAACAAATAACTAGCCGACTCGACATTATCACTGAAGTATGGTCGTCATTTATGACACTGGCAATGTTTACACCACGGTTGTGGTAGATAGAAGGTATACATCATAGAGTAATAATTAGTCTAGTTCATCAAGATAGATAAACAAAAAGTATTGTTAATCTATCTCGATGGTCTAGTTACTCTATTATGGTTTACACTCTACATCATAGCGATAGAGCTATTAACAATTGTTTGTTATTAGGTCTATGGTTTACACTGTACTCTGCTTATCACTGCGCCGTATTCATTATAAGTGACATTAGTGTTAACGATGTTCCGAGGAGATGACACATCAGGATTCAAACAAACTGATGTCCCTATACTTAAAGCATTGCAGAGCAGATTTTTATTTTATTTTATTAAAAGTAAACATATTTGAAATTCTAAAATCTTTTAGAATATTATGATGTACAAGAGATCTGTAATTTATAATGACATTATTTAAGTACAGAAAATTCAATAAAATTTAAATAAAAAAATAAATATAATTCGGCGGGAAATTATTATGAAGACATTTCTCATGGTTAGGTTAGAATAAAACTTCCTAAAAATGTTTTCGATTTTAATATGTTATATAGCTAATAAGTTCTTAATTACAAAACGCAATGCTGGGTATTTAATTGCAAACATACTAGGGAATAGTGTACATTTTTAAGTTATATACAATTAGAAAACTTAGGTTCAAATGTATTAAGTTATTAGTCAGTATAATACCTACTTTATATCTACTAGCTTGTTTTATAAATTAATACTCAAAAATATGTAATATATACACCTATAGGTTACAATCTGATAATTATTTTAGATTCTGAGTGTAGCGAGGAATGTATTGGTTTTATGATGATGTTTATTTTTAAATGTATCTTGCCGGTTGTTTTAATTTGTTAGTGTAAAATTTGCTTTTTGTTTGGAATTCCGTACTCATTTGTTAACAATACATTTTCAATGGAAGGAAGTAATTGCTGAAGTTGAATTCCACTATCAGGCCTGGCTTTAATGACCATGATATTAAATTTATTTAAAATAAATATAAAATTTTTACTTTTAAAACTGTATGAATATTGTTTTGTTATTCCATTATTTTGTTTACAGTATATGATATGTTATTGCCAAACACTTTATAAAAACACCTAAAAAAATGTTATAGTTATCAAATTAAGTACTTCCAAAATTTTAAAAGTTAAGTTATTTTTATATAAAAATAGGAATTTGGAAGAATTATTTTGTGTTTTAATATTGGTGTTATTAACTAGGCCAGCTATAGAGCGGGGGGGGGGCGAATCCCTCTCACTGGTATTTGATTAACCTATAGTGAAAACCCTAACTGAAGTAAAATGCTGTGTACGCTACTGTTAGCCGTGACGTATATTTTTAAGATTTTCTATTTTAAGGATAGGTGAGAAAATATATTTCGTCTCCCCTCCCCCCCCAAGAGAGACCAAGGTAGGCCACTGACCTGGCCTACATAAGATTCGAGTATTTGTTCGTGGATGTAATATGTTATTATTTACCACGCCCACCCCCTATCCACTATGAAAGTTCCCGAGCGCGTCGCCGAGATGATATCATTACAGAACGTTTCGCGTTATTTTCGCATAATAAACAGTATTACTTTACGGTCATAGTATGGTAATAGCATTGTGATGCATAGTGTACCTACGGTGTTGTCGTGTAGCGACGAAATGCCATTACATAAGTCCGACAGCGAGTCGACCACCTCTACCACGATCTCGCGAACATGGAATGTGTACACTTTGTTCGTTATCCAAGGTAATCGCGTCTTTCTATTTTCCTACTGTGTCGGGCACTTGCTCGGATGGGCAGTCCGTGAAATTCACTCGTATTAACATTTTTTTATGTGTATACATATAGGTACACCGATTGGGAATGACAAATTAGTAATTTCATATTAAATTATCGCGTACAATCCGTACGCCAGCGGTTCCCAAACCGACCTCGCGGTCGAAAATAGCTGTAGGGCACTATGGTACTTCACGGGTTCGGCGTCGTTTTCTTTTTCATTCCTTCCGTTCGTCGACCCGCGATCGTCCGGCGTAATATCATCGATATCGTCCGAAAAATGTTTTGTTTCGAAAAGACGGCGGGGATTGGACGAAGATGTCAAATTGAAGGTAGGGGGAGGGTAAACGGTTTTGGGAACCGCTGACCTATAAGCCGCGCGTTATAATAACATTTAGGCGTTGAACGAATGCCGCGAGGACCGTGTGAAATGTCCGTGACTCGAACTCCTATAAAAATACGATAATCGCGGCAGACCGCACGTCATTATAATATATCAATATTGTGTAGGTACCTATAATACCGATATGACAATAATGATAATGTTATTATAATGGGTTAAATGCACGACGGCGACGACGTTCACACCGGCGGACACTGAAAAAAAAAAAAAAATCATAATTATAAAAACCCGTGACGTCGCGGTGTTCCGAGGCCGTATCCGGCAAACCGGATCCCTCTACAGGTCCGCAGACGCGTGCAACCACCGCCGTCGTCACCACCACTACCAATATGCGCATACGAGACGAAGGTGGGTGTGTTTCGTGTGTGTGATTTTTTTTTTTTTTTACGACAACAACAGAATGCATTTATATTTTTTCGTCCGTCCGTAATACAGTATAGGCAGTACACCGTCGGCCCGCGTCCCGTTTGGTGCAACGACGTAACATCATAATACACAGATAATATTTTCTTTTTTTCTTTATTTTCGGTTACGCGGATATACGCGTACGAGATACCATTACCTGCCTATAAAACATCACGCCTCGTCTACTTCCGTATCTATAAAACAACAATAATATTGTTACTGTCACCGCGAACGCTAACGATGATTTCTTCGTGCTACCGCGGCGTGTTCGTCTTGTTGACAGCGATCGCGCTACAAACGCCTCGCGCGGCCGTCTCTCAGGGTGAGTGATCTTCACGCAAAAATAATTTAAAAAAAACCAACAGCCTAACCTACTCACATCATTGATGAAGGCGTACCCGGTATTTTTCAATGGACGGGGGGGGGCTGGGGGTTAGTAGTAGTAAACTCAATTCGAATAAATTCGTACAATTTTGCAAGCAAGGTATAATATATAAAGTACATAACAAGCCTCAGTAGCACGGTGAACAATTTAAAACCTTGATGTTCAACTTATAACTCAGTATACCTACCCGCCTCTATAAGCACCCGGAGAGCGCCCCCCCCCTAGCTTTTAATATTTTTCTTTTTATAATATTGTGTACATATATAAGTGATACTTAATGTCGGCGGTAGGTTTTTAGGGGTCGTTGGGCGGGCGATGCAAAGCTTTTAAACGCGGAATGATGGACAAATAAAAAAGCACCAGCGTTCAACGACACGTATTATCGCACGTCAAATCAAAATAGTTGTGTGTATGACTATGACACCATAAAAGTACCATAAAAACCCTTTCACCACGTCACTGATAATAAGCTTTTTACACACGTTTATTTTGCAAAATTCATAATAAATTGTGTAGTGCATTTTAGTGTAATACGTACTCGTATACTAGTTAAAATTACCATTTTTCACTAGGTTGCAGAGTTGTGTAGTGCCAATGTGTAATTATGTACCTATCTACTATTATTTGACTATAGTAATAATACGTAAGTGCAACGCTGAATAGTTTATATTTAGCTACTTTCTCTGTACAGTACGATTTTTCACTAAATCTAAACTTTCACAACACGAAACGGCAAAACGAAAATTTTCACACACTTTATTTTATTATAGTTTATTGATGTACGCATAGGCGACTTAAACGCACTTATTATACAACTATAGAAGATGTGCACGGCACTTTCAAGAAATATCGGAGGGGCGGGAGATGGTATGTTCATGCTGTTATTTATAATATATCAGCTATTACTGTTTAATATTAAATTTGTTTATTATTTGGTATATTTCATATCTCATGTGTTAGTATTATTTTTGTCAAATATTTTTTCTGGATTAAGGGTCCGGTTGGCCATGTACCGAACTTTAAGAAATTGAATTTGCCCCCCCTCTTAAAAAAAAAATGTCATGTAAATTTGTGTACTATAAACATATTTAACTAATATTTTATATACTCTTATATAAACCAAGTCCTCTGACCCTATCCCCCGTCACTGGATGTACGCCTAATAAATTAGTTACGATATTTTAAATCTTGTAAAGCATGTTATACTAATGTCCAAATTTTCGTTGAATTATAAGGTGTTGTTATCAATTATATTATACAATTTTTTTTTTATCTATGATTTAATCGATACGCTGAGAAAAATTTCCTTATTTTGTTTATAATAAATTAGTCTGGAGGTACATATACACGTTTACTTTCTTTAAAAGAATAATACAGATATAATATTGTTTCGCAACTAAAATTATTGTCTACGGTATAAAACAACTATGCATAATATTTTAGGTACAAAAGACACTGTTTAAATTATGAAGGTACCTACGTACCTATAAGTTAGGTAATATATTTTCGAATCAATAAAGACATGAAACATTGATTATTATTATGAAAAAAAAAAAACCGTTTGAAATTCTATTGGATACCATATAGATTGGAGTTACTATAGATTTAATCCGTTAGGTAGGTACGTCGTTACAAGAATGGGTATAGATACTTAAGATTTTTAATTACAAAGAAGCAGGAACTAACGTGATAATAAATTTGATGAAATAGGTACAAAATCGGGAGACAAGATTATATTTTAGAATATTTATGAGACAAAATTATGAACGAGTCAGTGTTGGGAAAGTTCCTTTTAAAAAGGAATCCGTTCCCGTTCCTCGTTACTACTGTGAAAAATAAACGCGGTTCTTTTGTTTTATGTTTGTTTGTTTATATTTGTTTTTACGAAAACCACGCAGATTATAGATAATCAATAAACATTTTATAATGATGTCCGCCAATAAGCAATAAAACGATACAATTATAGTGCGACGATGATTGTTGTCGAAGCTCCCCCGCGTAGTTGTCGCGTTGGGATTAGTCGTAAACAACTCCGCGGTGTTCAATAAAATGTATCCATGTCGTTCTTCTGTGACGTTATAAATGCGTTCATGCGGCGATTGTTCAATACAATCTCCATTTGATTTTGCTATGTACAATGCATATTTTAAAGGTGGCCGTAATGGGCATATGAAACGGGCGGGAGCCTGAAACATAAAAACCATAGCATATAGGTATACCTATAACATTTACGTTACCTAGTTTTATTGTTTTGAGTATAAAAAAAAAAAAAAAAACATTTTACTTTAATTTTAGTGCTGCAAACAGGGGATTAGTAGTCCGAGGTCGAACATGAACAAGATTTAACAACGGGTTCCGGGTTCTAAAAAAGGGCGTAAAACGGGCATTTTGACAACCTCCCAGTCTTCGAAGCATGTTTAAATCATTCTGTACCGTGTATATTTATACTTAAACATATTATATTGCAGAATTCAATTAGTATCACGTGATACTATAAATATTAATACGTCGGAATTTGATATCAATAAAGTCATTATTGTAATTCTTGCTGTTTAGGTTGGGTTAGGCAAGCTAATTCTTGCTGGTTAGTATAAGAAAAAACGATTGTTTATTTATTTATTAAAATATCAATTCCTCGAGGGCATACAGGCTGTCCCATGAAGATTTCCCCCTTGAATATCTCCGGAGATAATAAAGATAATCAAATTCTGTTTTTTTTTTTATATATTACTCACAGGGATGAGAACTACAAATATCTGTAATATCTGTAATATTTGAATAAAATTTTTTGTTTTTAGTAAAACAATTAAAAAAATAACTTTTATTTTATTATTTTTGGAAAATTTTAAGATAACCATTCTATAGAGTTTATTTTTCTGAAAATTTGAATGTATCACACGTCTATATTCGATGAATATTTTATTAGTAACAGCCGTTTTAAATTCTACTAATCCTTGTGAAAACCGATGTTATCCAGGGAATAACCTAACCGCGTTACAGCCAACTCGTACGGCCGTCTGCATGAAAAAACGTCCCAAAATGAATCGTACGATTAATCGGCCACAGGCTGCATACGCTAGGGTACGTTAATTTACTTGTTACTTTAATCTGCTTAGTATAGGGATAATTCATGTTTTTTGCGTGTTTTGTAAAATATTATTTCGAACCATGGCCCATTATACATTTTATAGTTCGTAAAGTTACGCATTCATACACGTGTATATGTCAAAAACATACCCTACAATGCATGGTGTTGCTTCACGGCGACAACCGCCAAAAATTGTTAGAATAAGTTACCCATCTACAATATATGATGGGTCATGATTCGAAATAATGCATATATTTTTCAAAAAACGTAAAAAAACATGAATAATCGCTATACTTCGTGGGCTAAAGTAACAACCCTAGCGTACGCAGAACAGCCTGTGTCAGTTTAATCGTGCGACTTATTACGATCATGCTGTCATTACGTTATCAGAAGCGGAGTTTCTTATCCTAGTCTTTATGGTTAGTAAAATACAAATGATTAGAACTAATAAAATTATAAATTTACATATTAAATAAAACAATAAAAAAAAAAATAAAATAAAAAATAGACTAACAGTAATAAAGATTAAGTGAAAACAAATACAATTACTAAACTTATATTTAATTGAAAAATGTATACATATTTAATATAATTAATACATATTTTTAATATTTATAATAAAATAAATCAATATTAGACACATTAATTGTGTGGCATGCGAAATCCAGAGGGCTGCGTAACCGTAGTTGGTAGTATGAAATTTAGTTTTAAAAATTGGAACGTTTCTTGAATAATAAAAGAGGAACACTAAAGATAATTTAGATAGTAAGTCGGGAGCATCAGTAACACCATTTAATAAATTATAAATAAATGCAATATCAAACTCAACTCTTCGATCAGTTAGAGGTTTAAGATAATGGAAAATGGGGGGGGGGTAACACGAAAATGAAATATTGTTAATTTTATGAATTTATTCTAAAATTTATTTAAACGATCAATATTTGATATTTGATATAAAAGAAACATATTTCAGCACAGAGCGAACTAGAGATATAAACAGAGTGATTAATGCTTGGATATTAGAAAAAGCAATAGTATTACTATTTATAAAACCGAGTATTTTCATGAATTTATTACAAATAAAATAAATGTGGTCATTAACAGGTAAATTGGAAGAGAAGATTTACTATGGTCTTCATTAATAAAAACATTTTTAAAACAACTACTAATCATCGGTTCTAATGGTTTTTCAAGGAGCTTAAGAATAGCAGATAAAATCGAGATAGGCCTATAATTATTTGGGTATTGTGGAATTTGTTATTGGCATCAACTAACTTTTTGAAAAAAATGAAAAATGTGAACCCTATTTGAGCATCCCATGGCAATTCCTTTGTCCTCTTGTAATCAGGTAAAGCTTACCATTTAAAATAGTTACATAAGTTTTTCTTAATTTTGAATTTTGTATTAAATTCAATTTAAAAAAGATCTGATACTGGGAACGGGTGTTGGTGTCTGTTGTAAGTGGGTAGTTGAGAAGATGGGATACATAACATTGTTTAATTTATACCTGCAATAACCAATATACAGGTTTTGTCAAAATGTGATTTTAAAATCATTTTACATTACACTACTTTTTTTTTTTTTTACCACTAAGTACTGTATATTATAATGAACAACCTGTCAAATTTGCAAGCATTTGTGTTTAGTCTAACAATTTTATCCATAAAGTATCTACCAAATAAAAACTACGTAAAAACTTGCAAAATTAAAATGTCTACAGCTCAAAAATGGCTCACATATTTTGAAAAAGTCTGAAAAAAGTAAATATAAGTTTTCTGTCAAAATTTCAAGCCTACGGATATTTTAAACTGAATTACATTAAAAACAAAATTTAAAATAATAAAATAATTTATTATTTTCGTACATTTTTCCCCTTTTCGGTTTTGCTCAGTAACTAAAAAAATTATAAAGAAAATCAAAAAATTACTTTGTTGGTCACCAAATAAATTAAAAACTTAACAAAACAGGTTTCTTGTTTTTTTTTTCTATTGGAGCGATATTTTTGGTAGAAAACATAAACAATTAAAATTTAAAATAAAGGAATGCTTTAGCATTCTCTCTAGTACTCTAGTGCTCCCCCGTCTATAACTGCGACATTGGTGTTCGCTATTTAGTGGAGGTTCAGTTTGAAGTTTAAAATCCTCGTTTAATTTTGAGGTGTCACTGAATATACTGTAATATTTTGAAATAGAATTGATAACTTAAATATCCATAAAACGAATACACCAACGTTCATTTATATGTTAAATGGATGTTTTTAATCCATATGTAATGTTTATACTTTTATATAATTTTAACATTAAATCAATATCTCTTACCTACCACATTATATTCATATAAATATATAAACACCTCGGAATTTTGAACGTTTCTATAAAAATAATGATACAAATAATAAGTGCGTGGTCACGAGTCGTCAACGGTCTATCGATCAACCACTTTACCGGTGTGTTGTCGAAAAAACTAATTCCGTCAGGCGTCTATCCCCTATACCGCACTGCCTATGATCACTCGGATATCCTTTACAAATTGTCATCAATTATTATGCAAAAATATAAAATAATTAGCTCTGACGATAAAACGACGTCAACGATGAACGGCTTCGAATCCACTGTTGCGTTGCAAAATATACAAATAATTAGCAAGTCAACTTATGAGGATATTTAATGTTAAAGTTATGTTAATATAATGTCAAATTAACAATTATTTTTAATGTTTTTAGTAATTTGAAAAAATTTGTATAACATAGATACAACAATACAAAGCACAGTGGGTAGCGCCGTTAACTTTTTATTTTACATTTTTTTATGGTTTTTTTCAATTATTACAAAAACTACCAGAAAAATCAAAAAACCAATTACTTATTAACGATTAAGATTAAAAATTTAACAAAAAAGATCTCTTATAATTTTTTTTATTAGAGCAATAGTAATAGTAAAAAACATAAGCCGTAAACATTTTAAATAATGAAATCGTTGTAATAGCACTGTAATTTGAAAAATCACATAATTCGTCTTTTTGATTATCCTAGTTATATTATGAAAAATACTTTAGATATCAAAAGACTTTCTTGTGTGTGACTATATTAAAAGGGAAAAAAGTGATCTCTTCTTATGTTTCAATATCTGTTAGCAACGATAAATCATTAATATTCTGAATAGGGCAATGACAGCCTTATATTTCTCCATAAAACGTTAAATAGTTACTAATCAAATAGATAATTGTTTAAATGTTTACGATTTGTAAATGATAATTGAATACTAATAACAGATAAATGCACTTTTAAAATGCAGTAAATGCAAATAATCGGTTGACATATGAATGTTTTTGGACTTTTTATATTCATAATTTTGTTAATAAAATGTGGAATAAAGAATAATATTAAAATTACGAAATCAGAACTAAAGTGGAACGTTTAATAAAAATGTGTTTAAAAACCTGACTAGACTTAAAATTTAACGGGACCAATCAAAACTCATTTAACGCATCTAAATCATTTCTATTCAAGATAAAATTTGTTCATCACCTCAAGTATTTTAAATTATAAACTTTACTTCGTTACAAAGGGCGGAAGAATACTTCTAGGGAGCTTAAATAAGGCTTACAATTTTTGTTGAAAAAAATAAAGCGGTGTCGAAAAAAAAAACATCATCACCCAAACTAAGAACTCTCGTCCCCTATATTTCCTATACCCACAACACAAAAATAGTATTCATAAGATAATTATATAATGAATTGCATACATTGCTTACTATAATAATAAATTAAGATCTATATATTTTTAGACCACTTTATACATTTACTTATTACAGCCTCCATTTTCTGTCGGAGTTAAATAATTATAAATTGTATTTATTTTTATCAATATGTAACAGAAGTTTTTTTTGATTTGAATTAGGTATTGTGGAAGACTGCTGGTGGACCGGATGCCAGTCGAGCGCTTGGTTGGTGACGGGATGTAATCAATACCACCGGACTCAAAAAAACGTTAAAACGTGTACAGGCGGTTCGGAGTACTATTGTTGTGCCAATGTTGGGTTACAACAGCCCGTCGGCGATTGTTGGTGGACAGGCTGTCAGTTGAACGAGTGGCAAGTTAAGGGATGCGATAACTACAATAGAACGGAAACGGACCGCGAAGAGTGCCCAGACGGGATCAAGTATAAGTGTTGCGTGGGTAACGTCGCTGTTCATCTCCCGAGCACCAGTTTACCAAACGACAAATGCTGGTGGACTGGTTGTCAGCCGAACGACTGGATGGTAAAGGGCTGTGACAGCTATAATAGAACAGAAACGGCAAGGGAACATTGCCCAAACGGGTTCAAGTATAAGTGTTGTGAGGAAACAACCGCAGTCCATCATATGAAACAGAGTTCAACGAAGGAGAAATGTTGGTGGACCGACTGCCAACCGAACGAAGGGTTGGTTAAGGGTTGTGAAAGCTACAACAGCACGAAAACTGCATGGGAACAATGCCCCGAAGGGATCAAGTACAAGTGTTGTATGGAAGTACATGAGGCTATCCATCTCCCAGAACCAAATCTACCGAAAGAAGACTGTTGGTGGACAGGTTGTCAGCTGAACGAATGGTTAGTCAAGGGCTGTGACAGCTATAATCGAACGGAAATGGCTCGGGAACAATGTCCAGACGGGTTAAAGTATAAGTGTTGTGTGGGAACCACAGCTGTTAATCTCCCAGAACCGAGTTCACCGAAAGAAGACTGTTGGTGGACAGGTTGTCAGCTAAACGAATGGTTAGTCAAGGGCTGTGACAGCTATAATCGAACGGAAACAGCTCAGGAACAATGTCCAGATGGGTTGAAGTACAAGTGTTGCACCGGAATATCTGCGGCCATTCACCTTCCGGATCCCAGTTTACCAAAGGAGGAATGTTGGTGGACCGGCTGTCAGCCGAATAACTGGTTGATAAAGGGCTGCGATAGCTATAATCGAACGGAAATAGCACGGGAACAGTGCCTAGATGGGTTTAAGTATAAGTGTTGCGTGGGAATCACGGCTGTTCATCTCCCAGAACCAAGTTTACCGAAAGAAGACTGTTGGTGGACCGGTTGTCAGTTGAACGAATGGTTGGTTAAAGGCTGCCGCAATTACAACAGAATTGAAAAAGAACGGGAACAGTGCCCGGATGGATTCAAATACAAGTGTTGCACAGGTGAAACTGCGGTCTCTCCCATCCTCACTGCTGTTACTCGTCTTCCATATTTGAGTTCTGAGCCGGAAGAAAAATGCTGGTGGACTGGCTGTCAACTGACAAAATGGAACATACGCGGATGTCCATCGAATACCGTGCAGACCGGTACCCACGCCTGTCCTCGCGGTGATTTGTACCAGTGTTGTCTGCCAAGAAAAAAATCTACCGTCAGTGATAGGTAAGCCCCTATCTATACCTTAGTGTTTTGCTGGGTTGTATGAGACCTTTAATTTAATCATTTAATATGATTTATTGTATTACTAAACAATTCAAGGCAGCCATTTGGGTTGCACAAAATGCTCATTAAATAAAATGTAATGATAGTTTATAATTTGTTTATCTGGTTGGATGTTGATTTACTAATTTTATCACTAAAAAATGCTATAAATTATTGAAAATCGTAATTTTAATTGCAACTAATTTAAAATTAACAGATTATTCCAATATAAATGAATAAATAAATAAATAAGTATAAATGAAATACATAAATACATATGAAAATTGAATCATCGTAAGAAAAATATAATTTTATGATAGACAAATAGAGTAATAAGACTATATATACCAATGTTTAAAATTTAAAGAACAAAATTTGGACTTATTTTTTAGTAAATTTTTTAGCTCGGGTTTAAAGGACCACCAAACGTAATATTTAATGAATTTATAATAATTAGCTCAAATGGATTGTTCAACGTTTATGCAAGTATACAACCCAGCATTAGACACTTAGCATTTGAAAACCATTTTAATGAAAATAAAACTATTTTATTTTTATAATTTATATTACATGTGTCTACATACAGTATGGTTAACAGAAGGAAGGACTATCGGAAGTAACCAATCTTACATTTAATATTATTAAAATATAATAATATTCAGATCGACTGTCAATCATCGAACTCGTGATCTCAAACGCTCCAAATTACGTCTAAGATTATAAACTCCTAAATGTATAATTTTAGCATACACAGATTAAAATATGTATGCCGATTAAACGTTGTCGTTTAATTTTTTTAAACAACATTATTCTATTGTGTAGTTAAAAAGTATGATTTTCGTAAATCAGATTATGATTCTATGAATAAACCTCTAAAACATGAATAACAATGATATTTAAAGACTTAAGTCTGGTTATTATAGTTGTAAATCGCAATGTATAATAATAATATTATGTTAGTATGTTTCGTAACCCGATTTATCAATTTGTAACAGGAAATTCTATGCTATATCATGAAGTGACTGACTACAACTGAAACATGGTAGCAATCGATATCTGGGGACCCAACCTGCGATTGGAAAACCATAGTCGCAATCGCAGAAGCACAGTTCATTTTTTTTAGAAAGTTTTCTGTATCCAAATAGACACACGTTGAAGTCCATTGAACATCCAGTAATATTTAGCTTACTTTATAGCTTACTGAGCGTCTACTAAAAAATAAGAAACAAACATTCTTAAATTTCCATTATTTTTTGTCATAATTATTTTTGAAGGTTTACAATCATATTCTTATCTTTTGCCATCATCCCAAATATTCGGGGTCGGCCACCCTCATTCTAAACGTTTACTTGACTCTATCTCTTATCTCACATAAATCAGCTGATCTTGTATCATTCTCAATTCCATATAACCATCCCTTTTTCGGTGTTCTTTGGTCGTCTCTCCACTTATTTCTTTTTACGTTTATTTTCATTACAATTTTTACTGCCTTATTTTCTCTCCCCCGTAATATACACGAACTATTTCCCAATATTTTTTCTTATTTTGTCTATTAAAAGTACCACGCATAAACTACCTCATTTCTACTAATTTATCATTCTATCTTTGGATTGGCACATTCTTATTTTTAAATTAAATCAACTCATTCAATTCAATATTTTAAATAGTACAATGTTCTATTAAAAAAATTGCCAGTGTTATTGTAATTCGGTAATTCATCAATCTTTCATTAAAATATTTTAAACAATTTTTTAGAAGGTGCTCAGTACCCCAAGCATCCCCCCTAGTTGCGCCAATGATTATATCAAACCACTTGAATGGTTCGGTTTTTTATACAATTAAGTGTTTATTAGATCATAGTATTTGGAATAATTGTTCCGAGTTCCTGGAAACCCATCAAAACAATAAGTCAGTTACTGGGTTATTCAAATTTATTAAATGAATTTGATTTGTTTGATAACACTGTCGTGGAATTTCCAATATTCTATTTGAACAATTAAATTTGAAAATAATAAATAACCAAAAACACTAGAAAAAAAAGGAATAAACCGGCACAGTTTTACGTATCAAATTTGAATTTTGTTAATGCATATTTTATATTATTTTACTATCATATTCGTTTTATTGTTTTTTCAGCACATACGTTACACCAACATATTTAACCAAATGTCATGTCTGATACAAAATATAACTTGTTTGTATTGTACATTTAGTATCTTTAAACTCGGTAGCTTTGCTGACTTATTGCCAGTCGTTTTTTTTTTTTTGTTAAACCTCGTATTGATATTCAGAACTACAGAATAATTGCTTGAAAATACAATATAATACTAAATTAAAGCTGTTCATTATAATTATTATAATTTGTTCAAAGTGTATATTTTACAAATGTGTAAACTTTACCAAAATGTTTACGACTTTAAAACTATCCGTAGAATGTATTAACGAAGAGTTAATTGAAATTAAAACACAACATATTCGTAATTATAAAAAACTAGCGTAGGCAAATGGTAATAGAACACCGTAGTGCGCGAGGATGATATTCTCTTGGGCGATCGGTTAATAAAGCTGGTCATCGAATAATTTTGTCTTTAGTATTTAATTTTTAAGCCCTCATTGGAAAATCTTGCATGTGCAATTACACCATACTACGAACAATCATTTACAGTGTGACAACCGGATCAATTCCACAGCTCGGTAGTTACTTACCTACGGATATCACGGCGTTTCAAAACACAAAATACCGAGAGTACATATAAATATTTACTTGGAATCAAGTAAAATGTTGCTGTTATTAAAATAGCTCATTTATAGAAATTTATAAAAATTCAATTTTTATAACTTTTTTATTCATATTATAAAATTGTATAAATTCGCCACTTTTCACCAGAACTCGTTAAGTAAGGTACATTTTGTAAGTTATAAAAAGAGTTGCCATTAGTCATTGGTTACAAATATACTGCATATACTATAATGAGTTCGAAATTAAAAAAAAAAAAATCGGAGAATTCGTACAGATTTGTAGAAAATAAGCTATTCTTATAACAGTAACTTCTTATAACTTGTATATTCTTATTGGAGTCAACACACTCCAGCGGTAAAACAGCTGCAGTATAATATCTATTGCGGTTTTTATAAACACCGCTGCATGAACGAATTTTACCACTACGCTTGTGGTCTTTCAGTTTCTTTTCATAATTTTATTAAATTATACCATTTTATAGTTATAAATAATTTTTCCTCGAATGCGAGGAAAAATTATTATTCATATTATATTATATATATTATTATTTATCATTATTCATAATGATGAAATTCAATATGTTCAAACAGTTGCAGTCGTTTCATAATAATATCACTTTGCACATACGCCACAGCACGCAAAGCCCTGGTTTTAGAGTTGGCAGCTAAGTGCATAGAAGAGCGGGCAGGGTCTCACGCCCTAGGCTGCGTTCATTATATTTAGATTTGAGGGCGTCGCGTTAAAAAAAAAAAAACAAATTANTGCATAGTAAGTAGGTATATATTTATTAATACACTTGTAAATAGGATAATTAAATAATTTTGTTTTGTTCATCACAAGCCCTGGCCCTCGCAAATCTTAACGATGGGCCAGATATAATGGGTATAATCGGGTATCGAAAACAAAACTAAATCATTAGTTTAAACGGAAGTGATTACAACTAAAATTCATCCGCGCCGCGACGAATTATTACTTAACAAAATAAATCACTTCCGTGAAAGCGGGATGTATATCTAAATCAGGTTTTGTTCCTGAATAGGTAATGATACCGACAATTTCCTATAGAAACATAATCGCCATTTTTCGTTATTTTTACACGACTTTTTAGAAATTCTGAATATATATATTACCATTGTTCGCTCAAGTATTTAATAACGGCGCGCCGTTTAGATAACTATACACATTTCAAATCACCGGATAAAACTTTTTGACGGTTTGTTATGAAGGTGGAAAATACGTTTACACATCGTAAACGTCAATGCAATTTGTACGCTTCCTGGATCTATTCAAATATACTATGTAGGATTGATTTTTTATGACCTTCGTTAAACACGTTTCGATAGACAACCGTGATAATTAAGGGCGGTACGTCAGTACACTATAATATTACTATATTACATATTGTTAAACTATCAGTGGTTAATAATTATTATACATCAATCTGACAATAAACGTTTTGCGCGCACATTCAAATTACTAAGAAATACCTACGTATGCTGTCTGACACGCCCTTTTTAATCATGAATACATATCACTTTAGAATCTACGTACCTAAGACCAAACAATGCAATTCGGATACTCGGTCCATTATGTCAGTGGTGCGAAACATTTTTTGTGAATTCAATATTCAATTAAAAATAAAATAGAATTTAAAAAAATACAAACAGTTATTGATAGCCAAGTAGGCACCTACTAAATATGTACTTACAATAAATTAAGTTCCATAAAATAATAATAACGAGGTATTATTGACATCATTAGTGGAACACTTACATAATTTAAAAGACAGTCGTAATCCGGGGCTTCACCAAGAAATGTCATACGAAAATTATAGATTCTGAGTGGAGCGACGAATGTATTAGTTTTACAATGTTTATTTTTTTTTTCTGTGAATAATGTTTTTACACTAATTTTCCTTCGATTTAAAATCATAGAATATTTTCTGAAAGAAAATCTGACTGGGGTGGTACTTTGGGGAGGTCATTTTTTGTTTTCCAATATCTGTACGAACTTGAAATTTGGACAGAAAACTTATATTTGTCTTTTTTAATGTTTAAATATGTGTAAAAGAAACACATTTTACAAGTTTTTTCTCTTATGAATTTCCTGAAAGTTATAAGATGCAAAAAATTTTATTTAAGTGAATCATATTGTCTTAACTATTAATGTAATATGACCATTGTATGCTGTACAGTGTGAACTTAAATTTTTATAATATTGTTTATTCATCAAACCCTAAAACTCCCTCCCTCCATTCNTGAAAAAAAGCTCTAAAACCCTATGGACATTTTCCAATTCAGCGTCTAATGAATTCGCAAATAGTTTAATAGCACTACTCATATCAACTTTACTTTCAAAAAAAAATTGTACAATATTTGGCGTTTTAGCCACATTCTCAAATGTAAAGTTTAATTTCTTGAATTTGTCCTCAATCTCATTTGATTTTTGTCCTAATCGATAAAAGTATATATTCTGATGGTTAAGGTCAATTTCATCTCCAATTTTTAAAGACATTACTAATTGTATTTGTTTGACAATATGTAATAGTTCAGAAGGAAAGTTGCTATCATTCAAATGTGACAGGACACATCTTAAATCCGCAAAAAGGTTTTCTATTGTAAACCATTTCTTTTCTTTATTTATAATGTCTCTAACTTCCCAAAACAGAACTGCAATATGAAATTTAAAATACATGTCATAAAAAGCAAACAAAAATTTAGGCTGAATACAAAATTTCATCATATTCCCAATTATACTAAGGAAAGATAACTTTTTGCCTTTCCAGTATATCATGATTTTAGAATTATATTGATTAATAATGCCCGACTTTTTAATAAAGTTTCTATGTAAAAAATTTAAATTTAAATGACCATATTCGTCGGATTCTAAATTTTTATCATCAATCGATTTCGGACTGATAGCAATATTAAAACTTTTCTTAAATAAATTTATTGTCATTTCTGTAGGTGATTTACCTACACCAAATTCCATAAAATTGATATTATTAAATAACAAAAAATCGCGTTTTGATATATCACAATGTTTTATTCCATATGTATTCAATTCATTCATAACAACATTAAAAATCCGCTTTGAGTAATAAAGTGTTTCATCATACTTGGCTTTTCGTTCCCGTTGGCTTATTAAAAGAATAGTTATGTTATATGACATATTAATAAGATCTCTATCGTATATTTGCTCATTGTAAGTAATAATCGTTAGAAAACATTTAACGATGTTATCAATAATTCTCTGTGCTCTTGTTAGAAATAATGTGTCTTTCTTTGTGTCTAAATTATCAATGCCATTATTGAGAAACATGACAACTTGATAACAAAGCGTGTAAATATTCAAAACAAAGTCGCATCCTTCGTTCGTTTTGTAAAATTTATTAATCTTGTGTTCGGGTTCGAAGTAAAGAAATCGATATTTATTATCCATATATGGTACATAATAATCATAGCGTTCATTACGAAGCCATTTGAAATATTTATTGAAACATGTTAATTCGTTAATGTTAACTTTCAAAAACTCTAAAATCGTTTGTAAATAAATAGTAGAGCTGTCTAAATCTTGATTCAAATCGCACGAATATGAGTTCAAATGTGTCAGTCCAATCCCCTCCGTCAATTCTGTGTGATATGATTTTAGAATTGAGAGTAAATGTATACACTGAGTATCAGTCTTATCGTTTGGACAAATGTCAACAACTTTGCTTAAAATGTCAAATCCGTCCTCAAAATATACTGGAAGGTCTATTTCGTTAGCATTTTCATTGCGTTCAATGTTTATAAAAGATATCATAGAAACAATAGCTGGGGACAAAACGCCGTGTTCTATATTTGTATAAATGGCCAATATTTTAATGCATATTAGTGCCATGATTGTTCTCATCGCAGAATCCTGGAACCAGAACAATATTTCAACGTCGTAAGATGATTTCGATAGATCTAACATATCGGAAATTGATTTATTTATATTGCCTGAAATTCGCAACCGTGTATTAGATATATCTTCAAAGAAAGAACCTTTCGCATCTTTTATTTTCATATTATTTAATAAAATATGTTGAACGTTACAGTCTCCAGCTTTCTTTATATTTTTATCCAAATTTAAGGATTCGAAGGTAGTGATAACGTTAAAAATATCAGTCTGCAAAATAAATTTACTTTTTTTATTGTATTCTTCTTTTATATCATCAAATTCTAACCAAAAATCATAGAATCTCGAGTTCTTACTACTTGCCGATTGATTTGAACAATTTATTGACAAAAAACTTTGTAATGCAATAATTTCTTCAATAACCATTTGAATAATATCAATTTGTGTTTTTTTTTTAATCCCTTCTGTTAATATTAACCCGAATTTAATTTCTATTGAAACAAATATTTTTAAAATAGTTTTGTCACTATAATATGATGCATGTGAATTTAATCTTAAAAAATCGTCTATTATTGTTCTAAATTGTATAATGTATTCATTGATATCTTTTAAATCAATTTTTAACCTTTCTATGAAGTTTGATAATTCAATGAAATTTTTATAATGTCTTTCAAATTTAGTGGTATAATAAAAATCTGGATACTTATGAATGCACTCGTGATATATTTTGTTTAAAGTCCATGTGGCAAACTTACAAGTTAAAGCAGAATAAAATGCATTGACCTTGTCCGGTTCAGCTTCATCACATGAACATACTTCGCACCATTTGACTTTTGAATCAATCTTGATTAATTTGATATATTCACAACAATTATGTGGTATAGTAATTGAAATTTTGTTTTCAATATCTAACTTAATTTCATCTGGAATAGATTTCACAGAGAGAAATATAGTTGTGAAACAAAATAGATGTAATGTATTCATCTGAAGATACGATAGTTTATATTTCTCACAATTACTATAAATAATTTGAACATAAAATTATTCTTTAATTTCTAGGTATTACTATTATTCTATATTTTTGAACAACTATACGTGGAGTTACCTAGGTACTTGCTGCATGGTTAAACAAAATGTTCGATCGGTAATGAGTCAATAAAGCTACTCTGTTTAAAGAACATAATGTGTAATCCAAACAAGCAACATATTGTACAATAGATATAATGTTTTTCAGTGTCATGTATATCATAGATAATAATGATATAGTCGTATCATACTCACAGTTTTAATATGAAAAAAACTGAAGTACTAATTCTTAGATATTTTTGAAGCCTGAAACTCCAGAAAAAATAGTAATAAACCGGCGCAGTTTTACATTTCGAATTTGAATTTTGTTATTGCATATTTAATTTTTTTTTATTGTCATATTTGTTTTATTGTTTTTCAGCACATACATTACACCTACATATTTAAACAAATGTCATGTGTGATACAAAATATAACTTGTTTGTATTGTACATTTAGTATCTTTAAACTCGGTAGCTTTGTTGACTTATTGCTAGTCGTTTTTTTTGTTAAACCTCGTATTGATATTCAGAAATTTGGAATAATTGCTTGAAATTACAATATAATTACTAAATTAAAGTTGTTTTATCATAATTTTTATAATTTGTTCAAAGTGTATATTTTACAAATTCGTACATTTTACCAAAATGTTTACGACTTTAAAATGATCCGTTGAATGTTTTAACGAAGAGTTAATTGATATTAAAACACAACATAATTGTAAGTATATCACATCAATTGCTTTCCGAAAATGTGATTCTAACGATATTATTTTGTATGATCCAACCCAGACAGGATAAATGAAGCCTATTCTGTTATAAATTGTGATTTCTCCAAATGTACTTCAAATAAAATATATTACAAGTGTATTCATAAATAGACTTAATGATCTATTATTTTATAAAATGAAACGCCATGATTATAATGAGTATTTGGCTCAGCTTGAGCGTAAAGACACATTAAACTCGTTTGTTATAATTTTAGAAGAAATAAAACATGGCATTAAACGATTTACACACACAACGAAAGGGTTTCTTAGTCTCATGTGCCAAATACTTAATATAATGATAAATTTGATTTTTTTAAAATTTATATCCTTATTAATCCAAATTAATATTGGACATCAGAAATTTACTACGAAAAACAAAGATTTCTTTTACGAAAGATTGCTGGGGAAGTTAATGCACTCAACAGTGTTTATTGATAAATTGTTAAGATCAGTCTACTGATTTAAACTCAAGATTATATGATTGTTTTTTAAATCCCATACATTTTACTTTTAATAATGAACATTATGATAATGTACTTATAACATCCATCCATAAACTTGGATTTGGAAATTTCGAGGCAAATAATAAATGTGAGGTTAAAAATATTTTCTTAGATAGTATACTAAACGATCCCATTTTTTGTATCTTTAAAGAGATAGTTAATAAAGAATTAAAAATTTATATTAGTTATTTTCTAATATTGGCAGTATTGCAATTGGCTATAGAACACCGCAGTGCATGATAATGCCATATTCCTTTGGGCGTTCTGTTATTAAAGCTGGTCATCGAATAATTTTGTCTTTAATACTAGATTTTTAGCACTCATTGGAAAATCCTATGTGCCATTACACAATACTACGAACAATCATTTACATTATGACAAATGGATCAATTCCACAGTTCACCAGATATTTAACTACGCATTTTCACGGCATTTGATTACCGCGTTGCCACAACTTCTGAACCTTTTTTATAAGATTATAACGACTTTAACCAGTGGTGCAAATAAACTACTCCATAAACTTTTCTTTTTATCTTTCATAAACCAAGTATATGGGTGTATGTGAGTGTGTGCTAAATCTACTGACACACTTTTTTAGTTGTTATATGATTAAAATATTTGTATTAAGTTATAATTTTCACAGAATACTTCTGGAACCCGTTTCTCTACGTGGTAAACGTTCAAATCATTTTTAGAACTATTTATAGAAATGGTTTAATGCGTATAAAATTGTTCAGCCAAACAGAAATACTTGATATTATAACTTTATTATAAGTTTTACTTATTTATAAAAATAATTTATGTGTTAATTTTATAAGCATTCAAATAAAATTTTTCAGATTAACAGTGGAGCGAAGAAGCTTTTTTTTTTATCTTTTAAAGACTTTTTCATCAAATGACTTGCTTGGATTTTTACATGCAGCACCTTTTTTAAAAGGATATCGGTGTGGAGAGGTACTTAAATAATATCATTCTTTGATTTTCGTAAGAGTTTTCTCATTAAATGCGAAAAACCGAAAAAAACAGAAAATTTACGAAATATGTTACGAAAAAAATATACAAATTAACATAATTATATAATTATGATTTTTTTTTCTATAGACAACTTTTCTATTACATAATCCTATTGTGCCCCTAAGGTATAGATTGTTTATTTCTAATAAAAATTATTATAAAAAAAAAAAATTTTTCAACCAGGAATTTTACTCCAATTATTAATGGCAGCAATGTTTCCGAATGGAATTCTTATAACGGAGGTACTTTAAAGATGTAATTTTTCGATTTTCTCAGGAGTTTTCCTAAAAAATGTGAAGTATCTGGATAAACCATAGAAAACTGAGAAAAACGTAGGCAAACTGGGAAAATCAGTACAATATTATTAAAGAAAATATATAATGCTTTTTAAATTATTTTACTATAAAATGACATATAATATATTGTTGACAAAGCTCACTATTAACTAAACTCCGCTCAGAATATTTTTTTCTTAAGCAATGGTCTATCGTTGCTTACAGGTATACATTAAATTAACTTTAACAGTGGCTGCACCCGTTCCCATTATCCTAGGTCGTCATTTTTATATTTATGTTTTATCATTTAACTGAGGTATATTAATTAATTTTTTTATAAAAAATGATATTGTTTAGTCAGTGAATAATAATAATAATAATAATACATTAATTATGAGTCTACATACCATTTTTGTATTTTATAGTTATAAGTATAATATGCCTATTTCTAGGTTTAACTAACTCTTTCATTACTCTATTTATTCTTTTTGCCCAAACATTTTTTTGGTAAATTTTTTTCATTTAGAGTTACACATAATTTTACCGAGTTTAGAGGAATTTGAAGGATTATTGAAGGACTTACAGGATCGTCCATTGAGATGGACATTGAGAATTAAGGTTAAAAATTATAAATGATGGGATATACTTAATTGGTATATTTTTTAACAGAAGAAACTCTATTTTTTTTCCATTGAAACATAATATCAAACATAGTATAAACTTAAATCATTATTTATAATATATAGTAGATATAATTTGGTATAAATATACGTATACGAGTGTACCTATAATTTTTTCTTTAATAACGCATAAAAAACATTGTAGAACGAAAAAAAATTATAAAAAAATATAACAAGTGTTGATTTTCACTTGTTTTTTGTGTAAGTGAAAGAATTAAAGCTCCCCCAAACCAAACATTTCTGCAGATCCAAATTTATATTCTTTGATGTACCTTGGTATAAAATCATGTTATCCACTTTCAGTACATGTAAAAAGATTTTATATCCCAAGATTTTGGCTTTCCTTTCATGTGTTTCTTTATTGAAATTTTTTCTTTGTATGGCACAATTTGTACAAAAAAACTGGTAGCTGTTGACAATGAGTATTTAACGTAATTAAAGTGGGATGAATCTTTACAAATATATTATTATTATCACGAAGTATATCCAAATTGTTTATCGTTATATGAATGTGTTGTCGTAGAGTAAAAAATCTGTTTTTAATCATTTTACCCGCAATACAATTTACATGATAATTACGAGTCCAATACATTTCTTTTTTAGGATATTTCCCACAACCCATTAACATTTGAATACCAACAAGACATTACATTACATTTGTTGGTTTGAAATTAATAATATCATATTATCATCATATTGTTATTTATTATAATTTTGTTATTTTTGCACATGCAAAAAATAACTTCCAATGTCTGTTAAAATGGACACCAAGTCAACGTGTTTTATCGATAGAAAAAAATGATATGATTAAGCAATCAATTGTAAAATGACAACTTTAATAACAACATTAAGAAAATGAAAAAAATATTCAGTGTAACCAACCATAATATTTATACAAATATAATGTATTTTCATGCACACTTCACTGATTCGCAGTTTTTATGGTAAGTCATTAATTAATACAAGTCCTAATATATTTAGAAAACTTGTTGCTAACTCATCTTAACCAATACAACTTAAAGAAAATTTAACACGTGTATTAAAATTTTAAACAGTTGATGATAATTCAATATAATAATTATTAAGTCATGTCCATTGAAATAGACAGTGGTAACTAAAGAGCTAATTTATTTTCTCATATATTAATTATTTTTAACTAAAACGTTTGTTATTTTTTTTTTTTTATTTTCTTAGTAATGTTTAAATATTACAGGTCAACTTATTTGGAACTAAAATATAAATATAGGCTAATTAAATGAAAAAGAGCGCGAATTCTCCTAGTATTTTAATAAATAATGATAATATGAAAATCCATATGTATCATAGACATATCGTAATAATTCAAATTAGGATATTTTAATAGGTACTCGTTTACGGTTTGGATTATTTACAAAGGCATTTGGCAAACTGCTGGTTATAAAAATATGTATGGTGCTTATGAGGAACCGCTGCCAGGAGGTGTTATACTAGTAGTTATAACGTCATCAAAAGTTTTACAACAAATTTATTTACTTAATTTATCAAATATTAAAATAATGTTTATACTTAACATTGTCGTAGTTTTATCGGAAACAAATTAATATAAATTCTAACATAAAACAGACGGTATTCAATAGACTTCAAAAATATATAAGAGATAGTAATTCAGTTCTTTCATTTTAAAACTGTGAGTATGATCCAACCATATCATTATTATCTATGATATACGTGACACTGCAAAACATTATATCTATTGTACAATATGTTGCTTGTTTGGATTACACATTATGTTCTTTAAACAGAGTAGCTTTATTGACTCATTACCGATCGAACATTTTGTTTAACCATGCAGCAAGTACCTAGGTAACTCCACGTATAGTTGTTCAAAAATATAGAATAATAGTAATACCTAGAAATTAAAGAATAATTTTATGTTCAAATTATTTATAGTAATTGTGAGAAATATAAACTATCGTATCTTCAGATGAATACATTACATCTATTTTGTTTCACAACTATATTTCTCTCTGTGAAATCTATTCCAGATGAAATTAAGTTAGATATTGAAAACAAAATTTCAATTACTATACCACATAATTGTTGTGAATATATCAAATTAATCAAGATAGATTCAAAAGTCAAATGGTGCGAAGTATGTTCATGTGATGAAGCTGAACCGGACAAGGTCAATGCATTTTATTCTGCTTTAACTTGTAAGTTTGCCACATGGACTTTAAACAAAATATATCACGAGTGCATTCATAAGTATCCAGATTTTTATTATACCACTAAATTTGAAAGACATTATAAAAATTTCATTGAATTATCAAACTTCATAGAAAGGTTAAAAATTGATTTAAAAGATATCAATGAATACATTATACAATTTAGAACAATAATAGACGATTTTTTAAGATTAAATTCACATGCATCATATTATAGTGACAAAACTATTTTAAAAATATTTGTTTCAATAGAAATTAAATTCGGGTTAATATTAACAGAAGGGATTAAAAAAAAAACACAAATTGATATTATTCAAATGGTTATTGAAGAAATTATTGCATTACAAAGTTTTTTGTCAATAAATTGTTCAAATCAATCGGCAAGTAGTAAGAACTCGAGATTCTATGATTTTTGGTTAGAATTTGATGATATAAAAGAAGAATACAATAAAAAAAGTAAATTTATTTTGCAGACTGATATTTTTAACGTTATCACTACCTTCGAATCCTTAAATTTGGATAAAAATATAAAGAAAGCTGGAGACTGTAACGTTCAACATATTTTATTAAATAATATGAAAATAAAAGATGCGAAAGGTTCTTTCTTTGAAGATATATCTAATACACGGTTGCGAATTTCAGGCAATATAAATAAATCAATTTCCGATATGTTAGATCTNATAAACATTGAACGCAATGAAAATGCTAACGAAATAGACCTTCCAGTATATTTTGAGGACGGATTTGACATTTTAAGCAAAGTTGTTGACATTTGTCCAAACGATAAGACTGATACTCAGTGTATACATTTACTCTCAATTCTAAAATCATATCACACAGAATTGACGGAGGGGATTGGACTGACACATTTGAACTCATATTCGTGCGATTTGAATCAAGATTTAGACAGCTCTACTATTTATTTACAAACGATTTTAGAGTTTTTGAAAGTTAACATTAACGAATTAACATGTTTCAATAAATATTTCAAATGGCTTCGTAATGAACGCTATGATTATTATGTACCATATATGGATAATAAATATCGATTTCTTTACTTCGAACCCGAACACAAGATTAATAAATTTTACAAAACGAACGAAGGATGCGACTTTGTTTTGAATATTTACACGCTTTGTTATCAAGTTGTCATGTTTCTCAATAATGGCATTGATAATTTAGACACAAAGAAAGACACATTATTTCTAACAAGAGCACAGAGAATTATTGATAACATCGTTAAATGTTTTCTAACGATTATTACTTACAATGAGCAAATATACGATAGAGATCTTATTAATATGTCATATAACATAACTATTCTTTTAATAAGCCAACGGGATCGAAAAGCCAAGTATGATGAAACACTTTATTACTCAAAGCGGATTTTTAATGTTGTTATGAATGAATTGAATACATATGGAATAAAACATTGTGATATATCAAAACGCGATTTTTTGTTATTTAATAATATCAATTTTATGGAATTTGGTGTAGGTAAATCACCTACAGAAATGACAATAAATTTATTTAAGAAAAGTTTTAATATTGCTATCAGTCCGAAATCGATTGATGATAAAAATTTAGAATCCGACGAATATGGTCATTTAAATTTAAATTTTTTACATAGAAACTTTATTAAAAAGTCGGGCATTATTAATCAATATAATTCTAAAATCATGATATACTGGAAAGGCAAAAAGTTATCTTTCCTTAGTATAATTGGGAATATGATGAAATTTTGTATTCAGCCTAAATTTTTGTTTGCTTTTTATGACATGTATTTTAAATTTCATATTGCAGTTCTGTTTTGGGAAGTTAGAGACATTATAAATAAAGAAAAGAAATGGTTTACAATAGAAAACCTTTTTGCGGATTTAAGATGTGTCCTGTCACATTTGAATGATAGCAACTTTCCTTCTGAACTATTACATATTGTCAAACAAATACAATTAGTAATGTCTTTAAAAATTGGAGATGAAATTGACCTTAACCATCAGAATATATACTTTTATCGATTAGGACAAAAATCAAATGAGATTGAGGACAAATTCAAGAAATTAAACTTTGTATTTGAAAAAATGAACAAAACGCAAAAAATTTTGCTATTTGTTAAAAGTAAAGTTGGTATGTGTAGTACTTCTAGAATAGGTGCGAATTCTTTAGACTCTGAATTAAAAAATGTCCATAGGGTTTTAGAATTATTTTTCAAATTTAGGTATACATTCTAATGTTGATATTATTGATAAATAATGCTTTATATGATATAGATGTATTTTTAAATTATATTCCTTAACCTTTTTTTTGTTGTATTTTTTTCGTTATAAGAAATTTTTTTTCTTCTTGTTTTTGATTTACTAAATTAGACATTAGTAGAAGTTAATTTATAGATAATATATATCTTTTTTATAAATAATAATAATATTTATAAACGTTATTGCGACAAAATAAATCAACACAGTAAATATATATTAGTTAACAACGGAATACAATATTGCAGCACCTACTAAATATAAGCTTGTGCTAGGGAAGCATGTTCATAAATCTCTAAAAGTTCATAAAACCGAAAAACAATTAGTTGTTCATAATATTATTGTATAAAATGAGATAATTGAGTTTATTTTATGGAGAATGCTAAACATTTAATTCCTTATTTAATATATGTTTTAAAATATTTTAAATTTTCATATTGAATAATATTAATATTTAATAAATAACATAAATCAAGACCGGTATTCGCAATACTTTTTGTCTAAAAACCTTATGACAATTTAATAGACGTATGTTAACATTTCGCATATATTTAGTGTTATGGTCATGATCCGATACACAGGCATTAAATAATTACATTTATAAAATCCTACTAGTAAAGATAGGTTATGAACATTCTTAAAATTTTAAAATTAAGTTTTTCATTTTTAAAATTATTGCTAGTTTGTCTTGAAAGTTTTAACAAATATTTAATAACATAATTTATTGTAAGATTTAGCCTAGAAATAAGGTTATTTGTAATTCTTTTCTAAATGGATGTACCATACGAGAAAATTTGATGAACTATAGCTAAATAAATAACATTTTTATAATATATATCTAATATAAACCGGGCTTTATTAAGTATATAGAAAATATTACGTAAAATACTATTAATATATTTGATATAGCTGTCCCATTTAAATCCATAATTAATTAGTTGGCCGAGATATCTTAATTCATCAACATTTTCAAGTCTTACACATTTCGGATCACAATTTGTATTTCGGGTAAGATTACATTTTATCCAATGGAAAATTATTACTATGTAAGTTATAGATACAGGTAGATTTAAACAAATAAATTTAATTTTAGCCTATTTTTACACACACAACCAAGAATGCACATTATTTAAAATCCCATATGTCGGCTCAGGCAATAATATAGCCATATTATCAGCAATGCTTATTTGTTCAGTATTAATATTTGTTTTTTTTTCTTATCATTCTTAAAACATTCATACAAATGATAAATAATAATGATAGACCAAAAACTGTTCCCTGCAGAGCTGTAGTTGTGATTTTCTCCACAAGACATGTGGATCTACTATGAAACCTATTCTAAATTTATTACAACAATTATTAATTTTTATTGTTTGAGCTCTATCACTTAGGAAATATTTTAATAGTTTATTAACTATGCCACGAATACTTTAATATTCTAACTTTTTTAGAAATAACTCACGATTAGTACAATCAAAGGCTTATTGAACATTCAAAAAATACCCATACATTTCTAATTTTATCAATTTCTCTGCGAACAAAGTTATCCAATTAAAAAAGTGCATCAATTATTGACAAATCAGTTCTAAAATTAAATTGTCAATTAGAAAAGAATGTTTTTTTTGTACAAAAATGTAATAAACAATTTTTAATATATTTTTAAAAATTGTAGGCAAATTTATTGATAAGTAGTGAGATTAGTCTATAATTAAAATTTTCACATGTTAACTTATCCCCTGATTTAAACAATAATGTTGCAATACATATTTTAAACGTTCAAGGATAATGACCTATTTAAAAATTAAAGATGATAAAGAAATGGATTTAAACATTTTCTTTGTTTAATATATTTATAAAAAGAATTATAATTTTTAAGCTCACTAATTTCTTCATTACATATTGCAATAAGAAATATGATTTCTTTGCTATTATTTAAATCTTTTAATTGAAATTTATCTCCAATTACATTTCTATATTTCTAAATTATTTTTTACATTGAAAAAAACATAATTTAGTTTATCACAAATTTCAGTTTTAGGTTAAATGGTAATACGATCTTTATTTACAATCTTATTGATATTATTTTTATTATTTTTACATTTGCACGGTTTATCTGTGATTTCATTAATAACACTCCAAACTCGTTTACCGTCAGATTTGGCTATCTTCAATTTATTTTGATAGTAAATTTGTTTTGATTTTCTTATCAATATATTTAACATATTTCTATATAATTTGTACAATTTCTTAAATTTTAAATCAAAAGACCTCAGCATAGAAAATAGTTTTTCTCTATTTCTTATAGAACTAATAACGCCAGTTGTGATCCACGCATTTAGATTTAATATTTTATTTTGTTGTCTTTAATTATAGAGATAGAAGAATGATTAATAAATTCTATTATTTTGGAATTAAAAATATTAACTATAGTGTCAACATTTGAGGAATCTAAACTAGAATACCAGTTTTCCGTTTTAATCAATAAATCTAAATGATTTATATTTATTTTGCTAATAGTCGAGTTATTATTAGTTAATGTATTATAATTATTTATGATTGGTAGTAATAAAACTGTAGCATAATAATCAGTTATATGACATCTAAGTATGTAGGGAGTAATTTTGTTTGTATCAATATCATTAGGTAATGCACACATGATCAATACAATTTAGCGAATAATTAAAGACTCTAGTATAGTAATTAATACATGGAAAGAACCCATTTGAAGCCATGATATTAAATAATAATTACTTATGTTGACATTTTTCATAATATCTATAATAATATCACCACGGATAATACTTATATTTTTCTTATTCAAATGATTTAATAATAATTCTAAATCATAGATAAATATATATATCATAATTGGAAGATCAATAAACACAAAATAAAGATAATAGGTACTACACTATTTATCATATGAGTAAGACGTATTGAATTACAGTTTTTGGTTATACGACATTTGGTGCGGGACAATTGGGCGCGGACATTTGAGTGCGGAAAATTGGGTGCGAGACATTTGGGTGCAATGGCAATTAGGTGCAGTACATTTGGACGAACATTTATTATTTAATTAAAATTGTATTAATACTATAATAGAAAATCTTTTTTAGAATATTTTGCTTAAACTCGATAATATAGGTAGTATTATAAAATCTACAAAATTTGTATTAATTTTAGTTACTATCAATAATTTTTTTTAAGTGTATATAAATATTTGATTAGATATATTAAAGCTGTTATATTAATTAAAAACTGTAAGCACAGTTTTGTCTTACAAAAATAAAAATCATAAAATTATAATTGAACATATAAACATTATATTAATACATTTATTTTGTTGAAATATTATGATAAATTGTGAGCAATGCCTTTCAAAAAACCATTTGTGTCGCGGTTTTTAAAACCATTATAGATTGCTTTGATTCTGGAAGCTGTGTCTTTATATTTTTTTAGCTTTTGTATTGGTTCCGTTCCAGCCGAAAATTGATGTATTTTTTAAGGATTAAGTTTTTCCTCGTTTTTTAGCGCATCGATAAATTTCTATATCGAATGATGGAGTACATTTAATGTTAAATTAAATGAATTATTCCTTCTTCCCACCAATTTATTGGTTTTGGGAATATCATATTGAATGAGATTGTAATAATTACATAGTTGTATTTGAAATCTGGGACTTTGGCGTTTTTTATTACGACATAATTACCCGATCCACGTACTTTCAAAATAACCCAAAAAAACCTGACAATAAGGTCTCATTTTCATTATAAAATTCAGTTTCCAAAAGAGCTTCATATGTATTAATTACCAAATGCGGAGCGACAGTTTTAAATTCAAAATCATTTCAAATAAACGGACACAAGTTCCTTCCGTTTTATTTGGAAGGAATGCAAATAAAAATGACAAAACATTACTGTATTGTGTACCACGAATGGTATATTTGGTAAAAAATAGATGGTGCAATAGAAAATGTACCATCTGCACACCTAGTGTCATAATTAGTCATCGAATTTAAATTTTTTTCAGTCGAAAAAATTTATATCCGTACTTTTTCTGAAAAATTGCTTACCGTCAATTGTTGTTTTCTACTCAGCAAGAATTACAAACTCATCTAACGTTCTAGAATTTTCTGGTGCCATTAATTCTTTCTGTTGAATACGCTGTATTGTTTTTTTTTTTTTCATTGAAGAAACTCCAGGTAATTTACTTGTGACTGATTCAGTTACCTATATAATAATTTAAACGATTATTTATTCATTTTTATATTTAATAACCTAAAATTTCCATTTATAATTTTAAGTTCAAAATTATTTAAATTAATTACCTCTTTCGACATAGCACTCAAAACTACTTGTGAACTCAGCTCTGTAGTTCTTTTACTATTGTTTTCATATTTTCAATTGCTTGTTTCGCTTCAATTTTTATACGATCCGGCCGATAGTTATGTCCACGTTTACTTTCTTCTGTTACTTCTCCCTTTTCTACATGTACACGACCCGGACATTTTTCACTATTATTCTTAGTACAGCGTCAAATTGTTTTTTCATTATTTAAGCGTTCTAATTTGTACAAATAGGCTTTTAAAATATGTAGGTCTCGATTTTTTTAAATTTATACTAATTCACACATGTTAAAAATAAATATTTCATAAAACACAACTGATGTAGCACTAAATAGCATTGCCGGCTTTTTTTCTCACTTAAGTACAATTATCTCAAATAAATCATCATCATTATAAACTATATATATTCCTCACTACACTCAGAATCTAAAATGTAAAAAGGTCTGGGTAGGAGATTACACAATCTATTTTTGGCAGGTAAAAATGTAAAAAAAGGTCTGTGTAGGAGATTATACCATCTATTTTTGGCAGGTAAAAAAGGACTATGTAGGAGTTTACACTATGTTTTGAATACACGTAAAAAAGACATTTTTATAGGGGTTTACATGTAGCCATTTACAATTGAACCTCATGTAATTGAATAGAAAATAGGAACATAAACAGGTCTAATAGGTGATGTATAGGGGCATGGTATGTTCCTACACGAGAATAGCAGGTAATCGATTACATACGTTAGTTCCTACAAATTTGATGCGTTAATTCCTATACGAATATAAAAAGGTACATATGTAAGTTCCTACACGGTAAAAAAAAGTGCTACTAATTGCTTTAAAATAGATCATACAAACATTTATTTTAATTACTTTGCTTGTTTGTTTTCGTACCTATATTAACGCTTTAGGCTTAAAACGTATAAATTAATTCAAATTTTGACGAAAATTGTAGAAATAATGACGAGATTTCAAAAAATGTACCACCAAACTTCGCTCAGAATCGTATTTTGTCAGAAATGATTTGTCATTGCACGCAAATATAAATTACATAAATAGCTTTATTTATTCCTATTTTTTATTTATTTTTTTTTTTGTCCTCTAATAACAATATAGATAATGTCTATAATGAAGACGTATTACAATAGTACAATTAACAACAATTCGGGGACAGGGAAATGATCGATTATCCGGTTATCCGACTTGGCGTTTAAAATCGGAAAACTTTCGGCAAATCGACGATCTCGGGGTCCGGCCATTGGCGCGGTTCGGTTGCACTCGCAGTCGCGTGTTCGCCTGTTCTCCGTCGTCGGAATGAGCGTCCACGGGTTGCAGTTTAGCGTTGACGCCCATGCGGTCCATGGTGCCCGCGTAGTGATCGACGAAATTCGTTTCCAGCATCCACATGAGTTGTCGCACTTGTTTCGCGACGGTGGTGCCGGCGAGTGTGTGACATTTATTAATGGCGCCGTCACCGTCACCACCGGCGGTTGCGGCTACCACCGCGGCTGCCGACACCGCCACCGGGACGCGACACGTTCGACCCACTCTTACCAATCGGAAGTCGCGTTCGTCGATGTACGCGGCCGACGAGCCACAATCGTTATTCCTCGCGGTGCTCACGTCCCACGACCATATGTCATTAGTGTTTTCCAGCCGAAAGTACACGGTGGTGCCGCCGCCAGCGAAACCACCGCCGACGTCGGTCCGGCGTCGGTCCGTTCCCAGTATGACCATCCGGCACGGCTTTCGGCCTAGCACCGTCAACGTGCCCGTCACCGGCGGCGTCGTGTCCGCGGTTGGCGAACTGTACACCGACACCTGCAAGCGGAGTTTATAGACTTCCCGACAGCCGTGGTAAGTGATCAACAGTCTCGATTGGCTCGACTGCGGGTACAGTGGCACCACGTAAAGTATGTCCCGGATCGGAGGTGTCGGCCACTTGCGGCGGCGCCGCTGCCACGACGTTCCTCTCACGGTCGACCGGACGCCGTCGCCCTCGTCGTTGTGTTCTTCAACGGGTAACACGATTTCCGTGAACTTGTCTTTGCAGTGCGAGTACACCAGCAAACGATTGGTGCCCGCGTCCCCGATCACTATCAGTGGCCAATTTGCACAGCTTTCGCGGGTCCCGAAGTCAAATTGGTCACCGATACGATTTTCCGGGTACACGGCCACGATGTATTGGAAACAGCTCACACCGGGTCTCCACATCCGCGACAGACTTACAACGCTGATGGTCTAAAAATAATATAAATACCGTGTTGTTTATATTTATAGAAAGAAAAAACCATTTCCCCCAATCCGGTCGACATAAATGATTTCTCTTTGATTTCAGATTTGTTTACTATAACATGTATACGCGCCTACATCCTCTGATCATAGTAATTACCCGATTGGTGTACACGTCTATGGCGAAGAATTTCGGCGGAGACGAGTCGTCCGCACTCGCCGGCTTAAACGACGATCGGTCGGTGCCAGACGGTGTGTTATCGAAACATGCGTCTTGACCGACGTCGCCCGTGTCTAAGACCCAAAGGAGTCGGCCTCGTTCGTCCAGGAACACGTCCACCACGTTGACGATTCGGTATCGACGACATTGGCCTTCGTCACCGTTGTCGGCGCCGTCACCGCGATATCGGCTGGTGGAAGTATCGTGAAACGGAATACGCGACCGGCCTTCGGCCGCGGTTTCCCGCACAAGTTCGGCCACGTCCGATTCGCTTGGGTCCGGTCGCCGTAACGGGTCCGCGATGTCCACGAACGGCCGCCAGTCGGGAAACGGACGAACGGCCGGGTACAAGTTGTTGACGCCGTGCACGAGGTCCACGAAACCCAGCGAGAACTGCGGCGTTCCGCTACAACACCTGCGACCGCCGTCCCCGGTGGGCATAACCAGAACGGCTGTGGTGCCGCCGCGAATCATTTGTAGCCGTGTGACGGTGTTCGGCATCGCGGACTTGCAACGGTCGCACCTTGAACCGGCGTCGCCGCGATCGGTCCGGGCGGTTGGAGGCCAGCCGCTCGCCAGGTCCCCTGTGTTGATCAGCCACTTGAGCTGTGTGCGAGCGCGGACGGCCCGGGGCGTCTGTGCCTTGAAGGCTTGTAGTACCGTGAACGCCGCCAAAAACAACGACGCGGACACCATCATCGGCAGCGACGTGCCGGACGACCACGATAATCGCAGTGGGCGTGATGATAATAATATTATGGTTAGGTGTGTGTACCGGGTACACCGCGAGTGGCTCGCATCACATATTATCACGAAACAACGGTCGTGCGCATGCGACGAAATTATGAAAAAATCCCCGGGGGGGAGGGGAAGGGGTGCGAACTCATAGAGAGAAAAATACGTCGGTATAGTCACTACGGTAACGAACCAACTCGTTGAAAACGACATAGTAAACGTTTTCAAAACGTATGTATGTGTAATCGATTTGCTCGATACAATGTAATATTGTTGTTTTTGTGAACCTAGTGGTTTAACTATGACGCGTTTCGATTTTGTGTCTGTAAACAACTTTTCTGCCTGAAATCGTGTTCCGCTCAAAAAATTTGCAAGAACTTCCCTGTGGTGTATTTGATCTAACTGGTGCGTTGATGAGGTTTTTTTGATTTTTCCTTGTGGTTTTCTCAATAAATGAAAAAAACTAACACGTTCTTGGGTAATTTTTTCTGATTTCTAGGTTACTTTGGCAACAAGGGAACAAATCTCTCGAATAGATTTTTTGTTAATAATGTTTTGTTGCTTCATTTACAGACATAAATCGCATTACTTTATACATGCTCGTTTCCTATTGTCCACGTGAAACAGTGGTAGACGCTGACATAAGCATGTTTTTGTATTCTGTTAAGTTTTTGTGATCAAATCGCATCGTTATATTACAAACATAAGACAATGGCATGCCTGGGAAACCTCGAAAAAATATATATTAAACTTATTTATAATGAGAAGAATATAGTTTATTAGTTTACGAAATCAAACGTATTGGTACCTTGACCTTAGTTATAATTCTGAAGAAATAAATCATAGCTGTTTTTTTTTTCACGGCCTCGTCGTCGTCATTATTGTCAGCGTTTTAATACTATACCTAGTTCGGATTTCCCTCGAGTCGCATGACTTTCCCTTCGCCACCATTCGTCGAAAATCTTTCGGAAATTGGTAGCGGTCGTTTTTGCGTTCAAATCGTCGATTTACATTATTTATTATTTTTTCGCGTTGTTGTTTTTCCCCCGTGGCGTACGCTTGGCAACCCGCCGAAAACATAACGGCCAGGACAACTGTTTACGACCGCAATACGTTCGAATAAAACTCGTGCACACTAAAATAGATACGTGTCGTAAAACCGTAAAAAACAATTTCAATTCCAGATTTTACGAGTCTATTTGTACAGTCGTAACTCGCAACAGGAGTTATTAATACGTAATACAAATTAAATACAATAAAAGTACCCAACTATCTTGTTTTAAAAAAGTACGTAGGTACACTTTACGCATCATGCAAATCAGGCATAACACAACTCTTCGTCTTCTTGTCGAGTCAGACTATGAAATGTCAATTAAAAATAGTACAAAATAAAAACGTAGGTAAATACTTAATAAATATTATAATAAATCATATTTAAAAAAAAGAATATACTTCACACGTGTGTGGGCCACTGTTTTAGGTGAGAAGTTGGGAATGTAGAGAGAAAATTAAAATATGTATATCTATACGCATTGATTAACCATTACTAACGAAAGACGATTCTGAGCGGAGTTCGGTTAAAGTGTTAAAGAGACCGATTCCAATAATTGGTGGTTTTTAAATGAATTTTAGGCTAATTTCTTTGGAAGGGATTTTATCGTATCAAACTATAGAAGGGACTTGTGTAGGGTATGTCAATCCAAAATTTAGCGTTAAAACCTATTGTTGATTTTATATACTTGAGCTAAATATCAGAAGGGTGGTGATATTTTTAATAAGAAATACCCCTAATAAAACCTATAAATACGGGTCTAGGTCAAATCGTTAGGCCATTTTGGCGTGACCCTTCCGATGTGAAAATGCTCGGTACAAGTAATTTTGGCGTGGCTTGTTTTACTTTTTATGACCGGATTTATGTATTTATTAAAAAAAAAAATATATATATATATATAATAACAACAATAATAATACATAAGTATAATTGTTTAATTTCCTGTATCATTACAAAACATATTAATTAAAAACGTTCTGTATGATTAAAATTAAATTTGTGTAAACACGCATATAAAACCATCTTGTAAAAAAAATTGGATTTGACAGTATAATATTGGACGTTTTATTCAGACGAGCACAACACTTTAAATTTCAGTTATTAAATAACAACTGGGCGGCTGGATAATACATCAACTGGCTGTTTTTTCTTTTTTATCCGTTGTTGATTTATCTTAATTATATATAAAACATTTTTTTCAAAAAATATATGGACATAAAGTGTTAATACGTTTTATTTAAGCAACTACTTAGTTTTGGCTTACGCCATCATCAGGTTGCTGATAAACAATGTCTTACAGTGGTTTACATATAAACAATTCAAAATGGAACAATATAAATTTTAAAATAAAAATAAACATAGTCATTATAATATAAAACAGTTTATCGATTATCGAAATCTGAACCGTACAGACCTGGAATGCATGATTCTGGAACGTACAAATCTTGAAAAATAATTTTCTATTATTCCGGGGATACCAACTTTTGAAACAAAAACATATACGTCCATGAGCAAAAGCCATTAATTTATATTGAGAAAAAACAACATATTAACCCTAACTTGATTTATACCTGGAAAGACAATAGGTTTTATTGTTACACTTGGGACATTAACTTCCTAGAAGTTCTTATCAGTATCAGAGAACGGCTATGGATAATTGTTTTTATCAAAACAATTATCTTATCTTTTTAACAAAACAATTATTAGATGCATAGGCAAAATTTGCAAAATTGGTATTTATAATATACAATTGTACATAGAGATTCAGATTTTTTTTATTTGAAGTTGATGATACTGGATTGGTCGAAAATTATTTTTCCTAACTGTAAAACCCTGGATTCAAGATTTGTACTTACCAGGTATGTACTTTACAGTTTATTGCAGGTACCCAGAAGAATATATTACATTATTTTATGAAAATAAATATATATATACATATATATTAATGGTGAAAAACTAAAAAATAATAAATAAATATTCGGCCAACCGAAAACATAAATCCGTGACCAATTTTATTTTCACAACTAAAACCACGCCGTCGTCGTTATTGTCCACGTTTTATTTCTATACATAGTTTGAATTTCCCTTGAGTCACGTGATTTTTTCGCTGCACCCCCTTGTCGATAATTTTTCGGAAGATGGTCGTTTTTGCTCTCAAATCGTTTTTACATTTTTATTATTTTTTTGTCACGTTTTTTTCCTTCGTGACGTGCGCCCGGCCATCCGCTGTAACCGTAACAGCCAGCGCAGTTTTTAACGACCGCAATCCGTTTGAATAAAACTCGCTCAGACTCTAATAGTTAACGTGCTTATTATACGTAACATAAAAATGATTTCTATAGCACTTTTGGTTTACAAGCAATTTGTAAAGCCGTAACAGAAATAATACAAATTAAATACAATAAAAGCTGACACTGCTGATAGGTGTGCCACTGCTTTCGAGGGAAATTTAAAAGGAATGAGTATTTTAATTTTTATCTGTAGCCAACCATAAACCATTGCTAATAGAAAATGATTCTAATTAGATTAGTACCAGTCATATTATTTTCCTTGTTAATAAGGTGACCCAGAAATCAATACAAATTATACCAAACATTTTCAATTATTCCCATTTATATAAAAAAAAAACATAAGGAAAATAAAAAAATGAAAATAAATCAAAAGTGCTATAAAGAAGTTTCTATAAAGTATATTTTATTACAGTGAAAATTCCGATACCTTGGTTACAAGCATTGGTGAACAAAATGGTTATCTCGTTAAAATGGGTTATTAAACTCAAACAAAAATATAAACAAATTGAAACGGAACCTTAATCACTGACGAAAAACAAATAGTAAATTAATTTAATGATTAACGCTGAAAACCAATAAATAGAATACAACACAGTATAACCGGAAATTGAGAAACCTGCTCAGAACGAGATCGATTAAACCGATGACGGCTTTAAAAAAAAAAATAAGGCATCAGGTGATGGTGACTTAGTAGCAAAACTATCAGAGAAAATAGGCTAACATTCAGGAAGAAATCAACAGATATAATTAAATATGCATGGAGAATAGAAAGAATCCCAGACAAATGGAACACTGTTATAATTTACCTAATTATATATAAGAAAGGGAACACGGCAGAAGTAAAATACTATAGAGTTACCTCCTTACTGGATGTAAGCTATAAAGACCTTTGATAATTCTAGAAATATTAAATTCATATGCCAAAGAAATTATTGGAAGTTACTAATGTGGTTTTCAAAAAAGCATGTTAACCACCGACCACAGCTTTGTGCTAAGACAAGTCATAGAGAAATACTATGACTTGATGTAGATCTACACTCAATATGTATAGACTTCAAGCAAGCTTACGATAGCGTAAACAGAAAGGAACTATGGAAAGCATTATTCGGATTACCAAAAAAATTAAAAAAATTTTATAAAAATTTTTTTATAATAATACAATTTGCAAAATATGATTTCTGCAGATTGATTCGGAACCATTTGAGTTAAAATCACCTCAACGATAATAATTGTACTTGATTAATTGGAAAGGGGACGCAAAGACATGGTTTTGCTCAGGGTACTAATATATATAGCGCTGGCACTGGTTGGCATATGCTGATGATATTGATGGGATGGAAGAAGTCGTTCAAACAACCAAGAAACTACTTATATCAAGCGTGTTAATTATACTATGTATATGTATATGAAAATAAAATAAAGTCCATGTTGATATCAATAAACATAAATAGCTTTAGTTACTAAGGTGTAAACGTCAACAACACGAATAATATGTACTAGGAAGTGAACAAAACAATTATGAGTGGGAACATGTATATCATGGATATCAAAGATATGCCTTTACTGCTATCTGTGGCCAATAATAACGTATGTGAGACATGGTCACTAACAAAAGATGATGAGAAGCATTTCGACAATCGTGGAGTGCAAATGGCCAACTTATTAAAAACGTAATCATGAGAAAAATAAGCAGAACAAGATCCCTGAAAAGGTCAAGGTTCCGGTGGATCGATATAATTGCCAAAGGCTCGAAAACGATAGATTAGAATATGGCCTTTGAGTCGACCAACAATAAAGGAAAATGGAGAGACTTTTTGGAAGTAGCAATGGTCTTAGTGGATCGGTAAGCTGAGAAGAAGAAGAAAACGTTAATATTATTACAGTAAATAAATAAGTACTTATTATAGTCCAATTGAATTATGTAAAGGAATAATCGACAATACGCATAGTATAATAAATAAATAATAATAATCATAAAAACAATATTTTTAATCTTCTATATCAAATAGACATTTTATTTTTTGTATATAATTTGACTTTTAGATATTGTATAAAATGTTACAAACATTTGAACAGACAGGAGTATGTACCTATTATAAAATATAATAATTTTCTTAATAATAACCCTGAAAATCGTAAGTATATAATATAGAAACAATTAATTTTTATACAGCGCCCTAAAGGCTGAAGTCAAACATACAAAAATTTTGTTTTTTCACAATACAAGTATATTATAATATTAAAAAAAAATAATTGCTACGTACAAACGTGTTATTTTTTTTTCGGCGTGTGATGCGGTAATATGCAAAAGTAAAAATCATTAATCAAAATTCACATTTCTGCGTTTAACAATATAATATTATTTACCCGATACAATTACTCTATTGTCGCAACGTCTCCGTAAAACAAATCGCAGAATATAACAAAAGAAATAAAAAAAAAATCAGCTTTAAAAACTATTGCCGGTTATTTGTCGGTTTTGTTGAATGAAATCAATTAAAATAGCTTAAAATAGTTAAATTTAGTGCCTATAACATTGAACTCGGCGATAAAATCTTTAATATGACGTCGTACTATGTATATTATCATAGAAAGCTGTGGTGGATGAAGGAAACGAAATTTGTAATTCGAATTCAAGAGAGTGACAACTATTTCGTTTCGTCGCCCCCTCAAATGGGATGCTGGTATAAAGGACGCATAACAGTTAATTTTAAACGGCTAAAGATATAGAATTTCGGTCTATAATGTAATATTTAAAAAGAAATCCAAATATATATACATGAAGTATAGGTAAGTTAAATTTAACTATTCCAGATCAAACAATTTGAAAACTATGACTAAATGGGTAAATTACTTGTAATAAAAAATTAGGTATTACATAATATTATGTTTAACAATTTGACCCTTGAACTCTTAAAAAAAATTTTATTTTTAAAAATTAAAAAATAATAGGCAATAGCACATTAATTTTTTTTTTTTAAACGATTTTAACTTTAAACGCTTATAACGAAAAAATAACACGGTACTGAATTGTTGATATGTTTTGGCCTATGATTAATCGACAAGCCTTGTATATTTATAGGGGAGGAATAATTCGTAAAGGAAGCAGCTGCATACTCCTAACTTAACATAACCCAATCTGTGTGTATTATTTTATATTTATTACTTGTAAGTGCGAAATAATATAATACCTTGTAGAACAATAACAATAGATAATAATATTATTATGTATGAACACATTTCCATTGGCAAAATCTGTAAAAATAAAAAAAACATGTGAGAAACAGAGTTCCGTCACTAGAGTTGAATTCTCACCCATTTTCTATTTTGTATTGTGTAAATATTATCTGTAAAACTATAAATATTTGAGTACTACAGTTATAATATTTCAAAAAAAAAAAAAAAAAATTAAAAATGGTGAAATTCGAGCATACAAATGGATGGGGTTGAAAGTTGAAACCCTCCAAAAAGGTGGATTATCGATATGAACGCCATGCATATACAACATTTCATCCCCTGTGTGTCGTTTTTGAGGTCTGTAGGGATATTCTAAACAAAAAAAGTATCCGTATTGAAATTTAATCCGACTTTTATCATTTCAAACCACCAATAAAACAACTTCATAAATCCCGATTTTGAGATCGTATGGTTCTAAAAAGAGCCACTTAGCGTGTCCAAAAGTAACGGGAGTAAAGATAAATTCATATTATAATGCACATGTGCAATAGTTTCATATTTTATCGAGAAAAATTCAAAATAATTTATCGTCAATCTAATTAAGATAAGTTCAATATTATATAACACAATCGAAATATTATTTGTTTGTAATTTTTTAAGAAAAAAAGACCGAATTTTCACCACGCTCAGAACGTGCATTACGAAAATGCGAATAATATTCTGCAAAAAAAAAAACAGTTAATTTTTATTAGAGAAAAAAAAACGTAGTCGATAACGGATTTAAAAACGTTTTATTCCAAATCCACGAACGTCTGGCGGATAAAACGTTCTACTATACGGTTGATAATGTTATTTATTGTAATACGGTTGACGTGGTAGTACATATATTTAGATAAAAACACACTACCCGCGTGACGTAAATATCGTCTAAATCGAAATATATTCACGGCAGACCGTCGTTCAATTTGTTTAAAATGACGTCGCCCTTGATGTTGATACGATGAAAGAAAAACCTATCGAACAACTCACAGGCAATTTACAATTTTGATCGTTAGTTGACGATGAGTATCTGTACTCGCCGGAAATCAAAACTTCTAGCTTCGAGAAAAACACAAGAATCTACGAGATTAATGTATGACAGAAAATCGATTGGCGTGATCACAGTGGTTTGATACGCATGCCCTGCTCAAATATTTTGTTTACTCCGTCTATTATCGTAGATATTCACTTTTTATTAGCTAACGTTAGCATTGCTGGTAATAGTGGAGAACTGCTGAACTAAAACGTGGTACGTTGCGATCATGCCAATCTATTTTGTCTTGGTAATTGCATATAGCGCGTTTAGTTCAAATGACGTAACACACAAGATATTATGACCGGTTGGATTTCCGTGGACATGCATTTTTTGTTGTCAGGTGGACCAGAGTACACGTTTTCAGTCAGTTTCCCACACTTGAACCCTTGCGGTGCCTGATAACGATGCGCAATAAACCTCACATTTTCTTCTTAAATGGAGAAACTTTGTATAATTTTTTGTTGCTGCGGTTTTTCAAAATAAAATGAAGAAACGTATATTGCGTAATTCCATGTTTATATCGCCATATTAATAAATCTCCCCCCCCCCATAAAATAGTAGTTGAATTTTATCACACTTGAAAGCACATCTTTTAATTTTAATTTTAAATCATATTTGTTCAATAAACTTTTCTGGTGTGGTTGTATTTCGGGTAATTTTTGATGTGGACATATGTTTTGGTACTATTTAGAATTATATTACACCAATATTATGGTGCTAAAAGTAGGTTAAAATGTAAGTTTTCTTGAGCAAAGGTTAACGTTTTGAAAATTGGTTAAAAATATTGTATAGTATTTTATTACCGAAAGGTAATAAAACCTTTTGCGAAAAATTGTTTTGAAAATTCTATTTCAATCTGTGATTCCATCCGGCTAAGATATTTTGTGTTGGCAATCGGGTGAAACATCACTGTGACACTGTTCACTATACAGATTCTTATTCGTTTTAATTAGATCACCGATTTGTATGTATCGGTACATATTTTTTTCTTTTTCATATAGGCTTTTCGATTTTCGTCAATAATCTTTACGAACTATACTCATATTAGAAGTCATCTACGAAGCCTTATTTTGTATGTTTGACCGTATAATTGCATATGTCCATGGTTATTGCAGATTACGATGAAAATGATGCATTATCACGAACAAATTGTGTCAATTGTTACCGGAGTGACAATACACAAGAGATTTACCAAGAAATAATAAAACACCACGTTTTTATGATTAATGTTAATTATAATAATAAGGTTACGTTACTTTGTGCCAAATATTTGTGTAGTGTTAGAAAACTGTATGTATTAAAATTAGAGCAGTTAGAGTGAGGAGAAATTTTAAATCCCTGCAACATCTTTGTTTTTGTAAATATTTTTTTAAATGATTTTTCCTGGGCTCTTTGGCATTTTCATGTGCTAAAAGTCCCGAAGCTTGATCATAATAATAATGTATATATATATATAAAAAAAAAACTAACAATATGAAAAAACGAACATTTATCGCTCGCGTCGACGACAAACATTAACGAACAAATAACTGGTGTAATATAACAATATGTACAGTGCTCGGACTAAGAACTATATTAAAACATAGGCTTGAATTTGGGGTCGAGTTGTTCGATAATCAAGTCTCGGAATATCGAGTATGGTAAAAATTGCATTAAAAAAAGAAATAATAAAACCGGTCAAGTGATGCGAGTTAGACTCAGTGGCGCGTGGAACTGAGAATTATGTCTCCTCCGCAATCGTCTTAAATCGGCTTAAAAATACAACTATTAGTACGTTATATTTCAGCCAAGTAAGAAGGAAAATTTTGATTTCGAGCCGAAAAATTAGCTAAAATACTGTATGCGATTTATTCATCATTGATGTTTACTAAATTTCCTTCCGTTGAAAGTTCCTGGGCACGCCACTGATTAGACTCACGCACGTTCTGCAAGTATACGTATATAATACGTCACACTTTATTAACTATAAAAATATAGCAATTATGGAATCGTGATCAGGAACGATCGCGAATCAGTGTTGCTAAACTCGCAAAACACAAACACCCAAGTTTGTGTATGGTTTACCGTAAAAAAAAAAAAAAAATCAAGAACGTATAACTATGACTTATAACATACTATGCACACATACCCGACTTTTCGAAACCCGATTTTCAGACACCATTAGCGTGTTTTAAAAACGTAAGAACCCCTCTCGAGTATCTAAGTTCGAAAATGAAAACACTTCGGTACACGCGGTTCAAAGTACGCAGCTGTATCGACCATCTTCGGATTTTATATTTTTCGGTTTTAGTCCGACATTAGAAAAACCGTGGGCACCGCCCGTCGTTTTCCTCCGACCGCCACCTCCCCCCCCGCCCACCAACTCGAGCCCGGCCGTGCGAAAGTCCGGACGTTCGCAAGAACGACCTCGTAATATTTCATTCGGAATTCGGAAACGGTAAATACGCACGCGGCATCGCGATTATCGTTAGTCTCAATGCTATACTATATAATACGATTATAATTGTTGTTGTACCGCGCGTGTCGGGGACGCCGTCGTCGCGGTCGTATCGTCGGCCGCCCCGGACACCGCGACGACGACGACGATAATAACAATAATAATAATAATAATAATATTACGCCGGGGTTCCCGGGGCGAATGCCGGGCGAAGACGCGACGAACCGTCGTCCAATCGGCGACCGACGTTTTGTGATGGGAAGCGACGACGGCGACAGCAACAGCAACGGCAACGTGACGGTCGCGGCACCCCGTTCAGTGGTCGGGTGCTTCGCGTTTCTGCTGTCAGCTGCCGCCTTCCGACGACGTCTGCGCGGCGGCCGCGGCCGCGGCGCACAGTCTCGCCTGGATGCTCACCGGCGAGATGTTCAGCTTGCAACTGGACCGCCGCCGTTCGTTCGTTATCATCGGCACCGTCAACAGGTCGCCGCCCCTGTCCGTCACCATGGTCGGTACACTGCGACACGACACGAAAACACATTGTTTATTAATATTATTATTATGATTATTTTTTTTTCGAGATTCTGAGTTTGGCCGAGAATATATCGGTTTTACAAAGATGTTTTTTTTTTTTTTTTTTTTTTTTTTTTTTTACGTGAACACTTTCTGTCAGAAATCACTCCGATTATCAAGTATAGCATCTTTTCAAGTATATCTTCTCCGAAAGAAAATGTTCTCTAGGTGGTACTTTAGAGAGGTCATTTTTTGAAATTCTCATTGATATTCAAGATAATGAAGAAAACCTCGGTCTTTAAATTAAAAAATATCGAAAGATTAAAAATAATGTTGTCGTTGGCAACCGTTTTTATTTATTTTTTGTTATTATTAAGTTTCTATTATTTTAATCTTTTTTAAACAATCATTGTTGTTATAGAAACGCATATTGTTATAATCATTTTACCATAATATGACATAATATATTATATTATATTGTTGACAAAGCAACACTATCAACTGAACTTAACTCAGAATCGTTTTCTTGGTATCAATAGTTTATCGTTGCTTATAGATATACATTAATTCCCGTCTGTATCCTACATTCCCAACTTCCCACCTACAACAGCGTCTGCGCTCACGCGAGAAGTATGTCTGTCCTTTTCATACATAATAATACAAATTGATTTTATTGCTTGATCAAGCGCGTGTACAAGAGGGGGGAAGTAGAGGTTCAATCCCTCCCTCTCCCCGAAATCGCACGAGAATTACGATGAAAATAGATTTTTAGTATGAGTCTGAAAAGTGATTTCTTTCAGTGAGGAAGATAAATACAATTTTGGTTTTATTTCTATATACATTGTATTGTTATTGTTGTCATTTCTAATTTTTTTTTTTGGTTTTCCTGCTTTTGAAAAATTGTAACTGATACGGCGATATTGCATATAGTCCGCATTATCATCACAATAATAACATGAACTACGCTATCATTTAGATTGTGTTCACTAAAGAATTATTGTATGTAAAATTTAGTAATAGATCGTACCTCCAATAAAAGGATAAAAATGAATGTTATAAAATATTGATATTTTTAATGAAAACTAAATAATCCTACTATTGAAAGCATGTAAACTTCTTTGTTATAAGATTATTAAAGTGTATAACCTCAACCTCCCCCCCCCAAAAAAAAAAAAAATTATTTTTTATAAACACACCAGTGTTGGGTTATAATAATATAACGTAATTTACCATATAGGTACACGAATATTATGATAGATCGAAAAATATTTTCCGATTTTGCGTGACTCGTTCGACACGATTTTCAATCAAATTCGAACTCCAAACCTATTTATCATCATTATTAACGATTACGGTGTACGCAAAATCGCCGCCGGCGTAAGGGGATTCGTTCAGCCACACTGCAGGTACTCACGCCGCGGTTTGCCATCGTTTTATGTAGGTAACAATTCCCTTGACAATATTAAAGGTAAACCGCTATACCTACATTTGGACTTTTCGATTGGCTTTACCGCTGTTCAATATTATGGACATCAATTGTGTGCGTGCCGTATTAAATTAAAAATCGATTACAATCCAAACGTTAGAAAGGTTAATGACGTTAAAACTTCCGCTTCGTTTAGAAAAATAATTTTAACGCCAAAGTGCGTCTGTGTTCGAATTAAAAATTACCAATACACTAATTTGTGTGCATTCCACTTGACACAACACGTTATGATCTAATTACCATGATTGTTATTGGTTTTTTGATTTTATATTCAGAGTAACGAAGAAGCTATTTGTTTTACTAACATTTCTGTTGTGTTTGTGTTTTTTCTCAGAAAACACTTTTTCAGTTATTAACAAAATTTCGCTACCTTCAAAGATACGGAGATGTTGATCTTCGTTTGGAATTTGTTTTTTTAAATTCCAATCAGTTCTAAAAAACTAAAAAATAATCTGACAAAAAAACGATGACGGTTTTAGTTTCGTTAATTTTGTTGGGTTACCTGGCTACAAGGAGTAAAATTAAAACTAATATTACAACCAGAAGTTTACCGGGCTTCGTTCAGAATCGTTTTCGATTGTTACCTAATAATTTTTCACCGAAACCAGCATATGAACTAAATAACAGTGGCCTAACGATGGTGGAAAGTATATTCGAATTTTACATTGTTATTTTTTTCTTTTTTTTTTATGTGCGGAGCGTGCTTGCAAAACGTAATTAGAATAATACCCGCATTTTTGCCTTTTTTTCCTTCATATAAATGTCATAACGTTTTTTACTAGTAAAATAAAAAAAAAAAAAATTATTGATGATTTCAGTTGTTTTTTTAATTAAATATTTATCTATTAAAATGTCAGATATTTTATAAATCATTAGACAATTTGTTTAAGCGTCGTATATTTATTTATTTTTAATTGTATTAGATTTAATTGGTTTTAAAATAAATATATTCCAAATTGGTATTTTTCTATCGACCTGATCGAGTTGATATAAGAAGATAAAAATAAAAACAGGAAACGCAATCGAGAAATTAATTTAAAATTTAGTTTTAAATTTTTTAATAGGTATTTATGGTAGAATATTGTCAATATTGAATTTATGTTATATTTATTTTGTATTTATCGTAATAATAATTGCTTTTAATACGTTTGAGATAATAAATTTAATTTATTCATTCGGATCATTAATCCTAATTGGATAATAATAACGGTCCGCCTGTGTTCTTATAGGTACATAATTTATATAAATTCTATTTACAGAACGAACAGAATTGGTGGGAATTCTTATACCAACCTACCGTCCTTTGTTCTATAGGCACAAATTAATTTGAATTTATTTCTCTTTTACTTCTCGATCGTTATGTATCTAAATAATAATAATAATTCTTCACTTCACACCCAGTCCTCCATCATTCTCTATCCTCTACTTGTTCTTTCCAATGCAAGCCACTGCCAAGTGATTCTACGTTATTTTCACGTCTATCCAACCTTTTTTATTTTGTCCCAATATCTACTATTCTTATTAGTTCATTTTAATTCCTCCAAGTCACGCCTCACCCATTGTTGTCTTCGCTTTCGTATTACACTCGTTACGTTCGTCTTTAGGAAAAAAGTCTATAGCTCTGCATTTTTCCTCCTTATTCAAGCTCCAAGAGTATTATCTTTTACTTGCCCAAAAATTTTCGTTTTCAATACTAAGAATTTAGAATTTATTACAAAACTTATTTTATTAGAACGACATTTTCAATAATATATCAATTTTTTTTTAACGATTTTCCCAACATTCATTAATTAACCAACGATATGCTCAGCTAAAAAAAAAAAAATAAAATGTGATTCAGTTCATCAGATGGACAAGAAGGCTAAAATGAGCCATGTGTAACTGACGGAATAAGTCTCGTGGAAATAGCAATATTAGGCTTAGAAATGGGAAAAATACTGAGGAGCTGACTAAGAAAAACATGAAAGATTAAAATGTTGTTAGATTTAATAGTTGGAGTGAAATAGGAAATTGTATGATTATATAAGAGTAGCCGGATACATTTTTTTGGTGGCAAAGAAGCTAAATAAGTTGTAAAATAAAACAAACAAAAACTGATACTGCTAATGAGTACACCACTGCACTGTTATAGGTGAGAATTTGGGAAGATAGGATGCATAGAATTGTTTATTTATATCTATAAACAACCATAAATTATTTCTAACGAAATACGAATCTGAGCGAAGTGTGGTTAAAAATGTTTGAAGCACCGTGATGTTTACGAATTTTTGTAAAAATTTAAATTTAAAATTCTTATCAAGCAATTAGGTAAACTTTTTTTTCATCAAATACAAATTATAAATCACACGTTAAATTTTGAAACATTTTTAAAAACTTTTGTGTTTGAAGAAAATATAAAAATTGTATTAGTTACATTAAATCGAATAAAAACTTAAAATACTTAAAAATATCATAATATCTTGAAAATTGTATGATGTCTATGTTGTACAATATAAGTATTCTGTAAATATTTCAGGTTTATGCAATTATTTTTAACCGAGTTATAACGAAAATCAAAATCAAAAATGGCGAAACCAATATCATTTCCATAAACTTTCTGGTTAATTTCCAATTTCAAATAAATTACAAGAAAAATAAAAAAAATATTCTTCTCCATGTAATAACTATATCCAAAATTCTACAAAAAGAGAACAATTATTATTTTTGTTTAAATTAAGATGTTTGATTTTTGGTAAACAGGCAAAAAACCGTAGATATCATAGAAAAACCAATAGATACTATAGATACCAATAGGTTTCTTGCCAATAATATTCATAATATTAATATTTTCTTGCATTCAGTTTTTTTTTTTTTTTTTACACATCAAGTAAACCTAATGGTTAGATC